AAAAAATTCCCTCTTCCAGGCCTGCAGTTACCCATCTTTTATTTATAAAACCCTTCCTACAAGAGCACTCGGGGCAGGGAGGACTCTCCGGGAGATGATTTGCTGCGTTCATTACGCGCGTGGTGGTGTTACCTGGGTGCTGATGCGGGGAGTGCTCTGGCAGGGGCAGCCTGTGCAGCTCACAGAGCATTCCAGCTGCATCCTTAAAACTCCTGGAGCTGGACAGGGAGCCAGGATGACAGGGACAGACATCCCTAAACTCTTGTATAACCCTGAAATGTTGTCCTGTCAAGATTCCTCTTCCTGGCTCGGAGCATCCCAGAGAGGTTTGGGTTGCAAGGGACCCTAAAGCCCACCCAGTGGTACCCCCTGCCATGGGCAGGGACACCTTCCACCGGCCCAGGTCTGCTCCAAGCCCCATCCAAACTGGCCTTGGACACTTCCAGGGATCCAGGGGCTTCTCTGGGAAGCTTCTCTGGGACCCCCCTCCTGCCTCTGTGCTCTTGTGCCCCTTGGGATGTGTGGTCTGCTCAAGCAGAACAAACCTGGATCTGTCCTGTGAGAAATCTGGGTGATATCTCTAATTTTAGGGGATGGCTTCAGGCTAAAACCCCTCACCATACCCGAGTGTCTCCTCACAGCCCCCCAGAATCAAAGAAACCCAGCATTTTGTAGTCTCCCTTCCTCTTTTAAGTAATTCAGTCCTTGCTGGCTCTTGGGAATTCTGTCCTGAGCCACCTCACCTTGGCCATGGTTTTTATAAGGACTCTGGGGACGGGGCTGTGGATTCAGATCCCTGAAGGTGAGGTGTCATCTCACAATCCATGGGGGCAGTTGGCCCTCAGTTTCTACCTGAAGATCACGGGGATTTAATCATGGAATTATCTTAAGGTTTCCCATGCTTAGCAAGCACCTCCAAGCACTGGGAGCTCCTCATTTCCTGTCCGGGTGGAATCTTGGAGAGTTGAGGGGGTATTTTATTTTATTTTTATTACTTTTTTAAACTGGAAATATATTTGGTGATCTTAAACTTTTTTAATTGAGACTTTATTAGCTTCTGTTGATGGTGCTGGTAAAACCTGGTAAATTTTGGAATTTATGGTTAAAATCCTTTCGCTACTTGCGAAATCCACTTTTTTTTTTTTTTCTTTTTTTAAATCCAAGCCTGTAAACTCAGTAGGAAACCTTTAAAACAGAATAATTGGCAATATCTAGGAATACAATTGTCGGTGCTGTCGAAGGGCCAGAGCAGGATCCATCTTGCTGTCAATACAACTTTCAGCAGGAATTGTGTGGGTGGATTGGAGCACTTATCCCAGCCATTATGCAGCAGTGGCACAAGTTAATGGAACAGATTGTCAGGGGGACTGTAGGAAGCAATTGCATAGGAAGGAAGATGTGATTTATGTATGAGAGATAATACACTGCCTGTAATGAGAAAGTTGGGAAAATAATGTATGGAGGAGGTGCACGGATAAAATCGTCGGCATGGCTCAGAAAATAACATTTTTATTTCTGGCTGCTTATTGCTTCCTTGAATGGCTTCCTGATTCTGGTGTTTAATTCAAGCTGAGTTACATCTGACACAAAAAAAAAATTAAAATAGAACGGATAAAAGCGGTGATGTCATTTCTGAAGGTGACAATGGGGGGGAAGAAAAGGACGTGCCCCTCCCTCACGGGACAGAGCAGGAGCCTTTAGTTGTCTTTGTGGAGATGAAGCACTAAAAAAACCCCCTCAAACCTCCCATAACTGCTCTCATTTTGTGCAGTCAGGTGCTCTGTCCTTCACATCCATTTATTTTCTTCAGATATCAGTGATGGGTTTTCCAGCCCTTTCAGCTTCCCAAACAAAGACCTGTGTAACACATCTGGGAGTCGCTGCTTTACATCTGCAGCTCCTCGGTCTGGCTGATAAATAACAACTTGCAGGCAGTGGAGCACAAGTTATGATGGGATTGCTTTTTTTTTTTTTTTTTGGGGGGGTGGCTCTCTGATATTCCAGGCACGGAGAGCTCCCTGGAAGAGCTGGATTGATTGCACCAGGGCGGTGTTTGCCTGGAGTGCCGTGCTGGGATGATGAGCTGACTTTGCTCTCCAAGCCTCAGCTCAGGCATGAGGGAAATAAATGGGATGAGGGAATGTCTGGGGTTGTGTGCCCATGTGGGTTTTGGCCTCCTGAGTTAGGGGTTATCGCCTGAGTGCTTGGGATGAGCACAAAATGGGGGAAAGGAGGTAAAAAGTTCCGTTGTTCTGGAATAGTTATAGCAGAACTATAACAGTTATGTATTTTCATCCTGGGAGGGAAGAGCTTTGTGTTGCTCAGAGCCATGATGGGCACTGTCCATGAGGAGCTGTGGAGAGGCAGAGTTTGGGGTGGGAGCTGCCTGGGTGCCCCCAATTCCTGGGAGTGAGACCTGGGATTGGGGGTTGCATCAGTCATGTCGGTCCCAGTCGCCTCCTCGGGGTTGTGTCTTGCCAAGTGGGTGCTTGGGTGGCCCAGTTTTCTGCACAAACCCACTAATTATTTACTAAACAACTTATAAATTGTCTTCTTATCCTTGAGTTCTGAAATTCCAGGGCGAAATATGAACACAGTGGGATCGGGGGCTGCATCACTGATGATTGTCCGAGTCGCCTCTTCGGGGTTGTGTCTCACCAAGTGAGTGCCTGGGGGTTCAGTGTTCATCCCATGCCAGCAGAACCCCCCGAATTATTTACTAAACAACTTATAAATTGCCTTCTTATCCTTGAGTTCTGAAATCCTGGGGTGAAACATGAGCACACGTTGAACAGGATCAGGGGCTGCATCAGTGCTGTTGGTCTGAGTCACCTCTTCGGGGTTGTGTCTCACCAAGTGGGTGCTCGGGGTGGCCCAATTTTCAGCACAAACCCATGAATTATTTACTAAACAACTTATAAATTGTTATCTTGAAACCCAAAGCCTCAGGATGGAACATCAACACACGTTGCACTGGGATCAGGGGCTGCATCAGTGCTGTTGGTCCCAGTCGCCTCTTCGGGGTTGTGTCTCACCAAGTGGGTGCTCGGGGTGGCCCAGTTTTCAGCACAAACCCACGAATTATTTACTAAACAACTTAAAAATCGCCTTCTTACCCTGGAATTCCAGAATCAAACACCTCCCTGTCTCCCTCTCCCCCCTGGCTGTTGCGTAGCCGAGTTGCAGGAGCGGGCGAGTGGAAGCTCCCGATGTGCCTGAGGTCGAAATCAAAGCGTGACAAAGAACGGTTAATTGAGCGGAGCATTTGAACAGCTGTGCTGGAGGTGGCACGAGTGGCACCTCCCCACAACAGAACAACCTCCTGCACCGGGGTACCAGCCACCTCCTTAGCTTTGAAGGGCTCGTTGAGTCGGTGTCACATCTTTGATGGCAGACGAGAAGGATGTTGCACGTCCTCTTAGCACGCCTTTAAATAAAGGGTGCGTGTTTTAAATGCAAATTTGGTGCTTGTTGTTGGGTTGTAGGGAGCAGAGCTGCTGTCTGAGGGACTGATTGGCCTTTTAAGTGTCAGGCAACTCTATTTTTAGGGGTGGTAATGCGTGTTTCTCTTGTAACCCATTAGGCTGGCTGCGAGGAGGAGGGATCAAAATGCCTGTGCAGGTTGTATCCTTGTGAATTAAGTGTCAGTCCTGCCTGGTGCCACCTGGGAATCAGGGCAGCTCACTGTGGCTCACAAGGGGAAATAAATGGTCCAGAATGTCGCTGGGGAGCTTCCATACAGCATCTCGTTGGGCTAAGGATAAAAACCATGATGATTTCTGAGTAAAAAACTAACAGTCTGATGGGCAGCCTGGTTTGGGTCTCATCGGGGGGTTTATTGACACATTTACATGTTTAGCCTAGGAATGAAACCAGTAGCACTCAGGAGCTGTGAACTTCAGATTCTCTCAGCTCCGAGTGCTTTTCTCGCACCAAATTTCTCACCAGGTTTCAGTGATGAGCAGCAAACCCTTTGCAAATATTTCCACAGCTGTTCCCCCAATATTTACGTGGCTGTTCCCTCAGTATTTCCATGGCTATTCCCCCAATATTTACATGACTATTCCCCAATATGTAGATGACTATTCCCCCAATGTTTACATGGATATTCTCCCAATATTTATGTGGCTGTTGCCCCAGTATTTATATGGTTATTCCCCCAATATTTATGTGGCTGTTCTGCCAATATTTACATGGATATTCCCCCAGTATTTATATGGTTATTCCCCCAATATTTATGTGGCTATTCCCTCAATATTTATGTGGCTGTTCCACCAATATTTATGTGGCTGTTCCCCCAATATTTACATGGATATTCCCCCAATATTTATGTGGCTGTTGCCCCAATATTTCCATGGCTATTCCCCCAGTATTTACACGACTATTCTCCCAATATATATTTGGCTGTTGCCCCAGTATTTACATGGTTATTCCCCCAGTATTTATATGGTTATTCCCCCAATATTTCCATGGCTTCCCCCCCAGTATTTCCATGGCTATTCCCCCAAAATTTCCATTGCCTCCCTCCCAGTATTTCCATGGCTATTCCCCCAGTATTTCCATGGCTATTCCCCCAGTATTTACACGACTATTCCCCCAATATTTATGTGGTTATTGCCCCAATATTATCATGGTTATTCCCCCAATATTCCATGGCTATTCCCCTCAATATTTACGTGGCTATTCCCCTCTGAACTCCCAGGAGAGGGAGGAAACAACCACCTCTTGCTGATATTTCAGCTCACTGTGTCCCACAGCCCTCCCTGCTGACCCAAATGTGAGCACACAGCAAACATATGCCACGATTTATTTGCCAGCTCTCTAGAAATAAAGATGGGTTTGGAGCCCACGAGACGTCACATCTGTTTAGGGGGAAAAAAAAAATATTGCACTGAAGGGCTCCCTTTGTGGGAAACGCTGCATTTCCTGCTGCCTGTTAAATTGGGATTATAAACTGTGCTAAATGGGCTTTGTCTCACGAGTTTCTCTTTTGTTTGCAGCAAGGGAAGCCCTATGTCTTTGATAGAGTGTTACCTCCCAACACAACCCAGGAACAAGTTTATAATGCCTGTGCCAAGCAGATTGTCAAAGGTAGGTGTTGTCTTTGCTTAGCCCTGCTGGGGTGGGGGGAGGGAAAGAGATGTCTCCCTGTCCCCTCAAGCTGTTTGGAGACTGGATAATAAATGTTTCGATGGAATTTAGTCATTAGTGATTCCAAACATTTCCTTTTTTTTAGGGGCTTGTCTGGGTAAAAAAAGAAAATAACAACAGGAGAGCTGAAGGAACTACAGCAGTTGTTCCTTCCTTTCTCCTGGTGTTATTCCACACAAACACTTGATTTTTGGGATATAAGGAACGAGGAGTGTTTCCTTCATGCAGTGGGAGACTGTTCAGTCCAGGATGAGTGTGGAATATCTGCACCTCTGAGTGGGTGGGAGGGTGGACCGTGGAAGGAGAGTGTGGCAAGCACTGGTTTCAGGAGCTGAAAGTGTGGAATTGTGGAATTCACGTGGCTGGAGATAACTGGGGATGTGCACAGAGGTGAACGAGCAGCCTGGAGCAAACCATCCTGCTCCAGCCCAGGTGGCTGGGTGGGGGTGGAGGAGCAGAAACCAAAATGTTGATGATGTTGGAGAGTGGAAACGAGTCAGAAGAAATTCGGTTCCCTCTCCTCAGAGGGAGCCTGATTACAGCAGCTCTGACTTCAGATGGGTAAGCCTTCAGTAAAAACCGGTGGGGCTGGAATTAGGGATCATTAGCTGGGGCTGCTGATGCTCCACTCAGCTGCTTGGAAGTTTGGGAAGCTGTTTCAGTGCTCCAGGGTGTGCTGGCAGAAGCAGCACTTGGCTGACTGAGGGGTTTTATATCCCCTGTTGGGAAGTTGGTTTCTTCTGAAAGTGGAGAGAGAAATAAAACCCCCGTGGTGAGAGGGATTTGGAAGGACTAAATCAGTGAGTAAATTGTGTTCGTGGAATAAATAGAAAGGCAAATAACTTTGCAAAGTCCTACTTGGAAAGAGAGCTCGTAGTTACCTTCTATGTACAGGTTTGGTGGGGAGGGGGTGCAGAAGAAACGGGGGAAAAAAAGAAAAATAGGGGAAAAAAAGAGAGAAGATGAGAATAAAAAAGTGAGGAAAGTGATTTTCTTTGGGCTTTCATTCCAGCCCCAGGGAATGGCTGATGGTTCCACTGGGATTGATGGCAGTGCAGGAAATGCCAGCTGGGTTGAAAGGTCCTGGAACAGTGGCTACAATAATTATGGTGGCAATAAAAAATTACCTCAGGGAGGGGTTTTGTCACCAAGAAGAAATAGGATCAGGGTTAAATAAACATCTTGATTAACAGGTTGAGGTTATTTCACATTCCAGGTGTGAGAAAGGAGGAGTTTTTGAGAGGAGGGGAAATAACTGTGCGTGACAGAGGTTGGTTTGTCCAAGGGACTCCCAAGGACAGAAGTGCCAGGGGTGGAATCACCACTGTTTTTTACTGAAAACCATGAAATAAAATACTAAAGAAATGAAATACTAACTACTAAATGATTAATAAATTAATAAATATTAAAATACAGAAATACATAGGATGTGGGGAAGTACCACTGGGATTGCATTTTTTACTAAAATACATTAAATAGGAATAATAAATAAAATACTGAATAAAATCCCCAAATAAATAAAGTATCAAATATGGATTAATAAATAAATAAATAATAAAATCCTGAAATAAATTAAGTACTAAAATAACACACTGGAGTGTGGGGAATCACCACTGGGGATTGCATTTTTGCCTAAAATACACTAAATAAAATAGTAAATAAAGTGATAAATACCATCTAATAGATAAATAATAAAGTACTAAAATGCACACTGGGGTGTGGGGAATCACCACTAGGATTCCAATTTTTACTAAACTACACTGAATTGAATTTATTATTTTACTGAAAAAAATAGTAAATAAAATACTAAAATAAAATACTGAATAAAATCCCCAAATAAATAAAATATCGAATACTGATTAATAAATGAATAATAAAATCCTAAAATAAATAAAATACTAACATAACGCATTGGGGTGTGGGGAATCACCACGGGGGATTGCATTTATTTATTTAATTTTTTGTACTAAAATATGAAAATATCCCTAAATCTGCAAGGGAACAATGGGGTGTGATTGCCACCACTTTTTGCCTTGTTTTCCACTACCAGAAAACAGCTTTTCCTCTTCCCAATCTCCCCAGCTGGGAACATCTGGGGAGATGTTTGTGTGGCCTGGGAGGAGGAGGAGGAGGAAATTGCTGGAACGATTTTTTTTGGGTGCTGGGGGAGCTTTGTTGACTGAGTGCCAGAACTGAGGAGGGGGAAGAAAGAAAAAAAAAGATAAATAATAGGGCTCCAAATTCGGTGGGGAAATGTTTATTTATTCCATCCCTCCTCAGCAAAAGGCACATCTGGCAGCAGCTCAGAGGCCTTGGTGGGGAGGGGAAATAAATTGGAAATTGTTGTGATATGGGGGGAGTTGGACCAGGAATTGAGCAGAAACCACCTTTTCTGCTGCTGAGGCCTCTGCCTTACTGAGCTGCACATGATGCAAAGGGCTGCTTTCTTACAGAATAAAGTGGTTTTTTTGCTAATTGGGAAGGGAATTATTTACCTGTGCTGCCTCAGCATGCACTGGTGCAAACTCTAAACAATCTCCTTGCATAACAGTTGATTAATCAGGTTATTTTCCCCCTTGGCCCCGTTCCTGTATGGAGTTGACTTGGTATCTTGGATCCACCTGGAGTTAATAACCCTTTTTTTCTTTCCTCTCCCTTTCTTTCTTTTAATCCAAACTAGTTTTTAAAATTTAACCAAATTTGGCACCAAGATGAAATAGTAGGAGTGGACTCGTATGGAGTACTAACACTAGATTTTTTTATCCATACAATTATTATTTCTGATTGCTTATTTTAAGTGTTATTTCCTCAAAGCAGAAATAAGCAGTGGCTCTATTTTTGTGAGCAGATGAGGATGCTGAATTCATCCAAAATGTTAATAGCAGGAATTATGGTCTCTAACTTTGTGGCTCTTCTAAAATTCAAGATCAGAAACATTTATAGGAATACTGTGGAATGCTCTGTGGGGATCTGTACAACTTCTGGTGTGCCTGTTCCCTTCAGCTCTCCAAAATACTTCTGCCACACTTCAACAATTATATTCTGTGTTTAATCAGAATATTTATTTTTAAGTGACTTCATTTCAATTTCGCCCTCAGTGTTGCTGTTCCTTTCTTTTAATCCATTTCTGTTCTTGGGAATAATTTTTTTCTTTTTTTTTTTTTTTTCTCTGATTTATCTTTTTTCATCTTTGTTCCTTCTTCATTCCTTTTATATTTTTCCAGCGTGTCATATTTAATTGTCCTTCCTGTCTGGAACACCTACATGGATACACAGGGAGATGCAAATTAAGATATTTTATGTGTGTGTTTATGTAAATACAACATAAATGCCATTATATTTAATAATAATTAACACAGTCGTGTGTATTTATTTACCATAAATACACACACACAGAGATATATTTATTTCCTGGAAGCCTCTTATTAGTAGAGATCCAGAGGGTGGGAAACACAACTACATTTTCCAGCCTTCCCAGATTTCTGAAAGCTCCTGTGGGCATTAAGCCCTTGCCAAGTTAAAAATGGATATTTTTATATCTAAAGGCAGTATAAAATTACTAATTCCTCCTTGAAAGGAGTGTTGTTTTCAATAAAGCAAATTCCTGCTCATCTGACTTCCCTCTTCCTTTGCTCTCCTGCTTTGCAGGCTTGGGAAGCTTGGAAATTAATGAGGCCATGAACTGCTGAGGGTGATACAGCAGGGGGAATATAATATGACATTTATAGGAAGAAATATGTGTGAATTTGTTTCATTTTCTCTCTGGTTTAACATGCAGGCAGTTCAGCTTTTCCTTGCCCATGTTACACAGATGTATGGGATGAGATGTAGGGTCCAGAGATTTGTTTTTTCCCTGGAAAAATGAGCATTCAGTAATCCTGTAATTCTCTCATTTAGATTTTAGTTTGATTTTTCTTTTTGTCCTAAAATTACCTTCAATATGTCATATTTTCCCCATTCCTTACTGCAAAAAAAAAAAAAAAAAACCATTTTCTAATTGAGCTTCAGCACTTTAAAGACTTAAGAAAGGCTGATAATTCAGCTTTAGGACTTCAGTGAGTTTGTTTTAATTGGTTTTTCTTCTTCTTCTTCTTGCAGATGTCCTGGAGGGCTACAATGGCACAATCTTTGCTTATGGCCAGACATCATCAGGAAAAACACACACTATGGAGGTACAGGGGGACAATGAAATCAGTGTGGGAGCAGCAGCAGCATTTTATGTACCAACCACCTGAACAGGGCACTCCTTTGGAAGGGATTTGGGAATGTTTGGCTTCTCCTGCCTTTAGTATTTTATTCAATGTGGAGGGTGGGTTTTTTTTAATAAGAGATATCTCCAGATATCCAAATAAACTAACAAACTGTGAGTAAAAAAAAAAAAAAACAAACATCCTACCAGCTCAAGGACTTGTATATTTTAAAGGGTTTCAGTGAGATTGGTTAAGCCACAAATGGAAACAGTAATGAGGGTCTGCAGAGTTCCCCTTTGCAGGCAGGATTATGAAAATTCCTGCCTTTTGGTTATTGGTTTTCTCATTTGCACTCCCCTTCTGGGAATACCCCCCTGGCATCCTGAAGCACAGATGGATGAGTTTGGAATTGCTGCTTTGGAGGAGGATATGAAATTATATGAAATTCTATGAAATTACACCAAATTAGAGCGAATTCCAGGGGCTGAACTCCTGTGCCTGTTCATTTTTTTTTTCTGCTGTGTGAAATGTGGAGGTTTTTTCCTCTGGTGTGGTTTGGTTGTTTTGGGGTTTTTTTTAACTGTTCAGGTAGAAAACATTTAGACATTTTCCAGTTTTGCTGCAAAAGGAGGATCATTCAAGCATTTTAATCCTTGCATGGGATTGTTCCTTCCCAGACTGGGTTGTCTCTTCTCGGAGCGTTCCAGCCAAGCCGTGAATTTTGCAGGTGGACAGCGAAGTTTGGCTGGGAGAGAGATGGAAAAAATGAGCTTTCCTTGGTTTAACCCCATCAGATGGGGGTTTTTTAACCTGAAGGTTAAAGGACAAAGGAAGCCACAGGGCCCTGGTGAAATTGCTCCGTTCCTGGAGGATGCAATAACTGGTCTAATTAAGCCTGTCCTTGGGAGGATGGGGGTTGGAAATCACTGGCTCAGCCCTCACAGATGGCACAATCCTGAGTAATCCACCAGCTCTGGATGTAATTAAATCAAAATGTCTGCAGGGCTCGAGCTGGTGCTTCCACATGGCACGGGGAAAGATCTCCTAAAGCCAATTTATATTCGGAATTACAAGCCGTGATAAAGAAAATGAGCGGAGAAAAAACGCCTGGTTTGCTTCTCTAATAAAGAGAAAGCTGTCATTTTAAAGTGGAATCAAGTCTACATTCAGCTTTAATCCCCCTCTTAGCCTAAAACATCCTCTTGTAAAGTTGCTAAAGTGTGTTGTGGAAGGGGGAAAAAAAAAAAAAAAATCAGCCTGAAGTTGAAGAAATGGTAAATCCTGTCGGTAAAGCCGCTATGGAGGATTTTCTGTGAAATGTGAAATACTTCATAGTGTTGGTGTTAAGCTTCAGGAGGATCTGGTGGTGTAATACAGCCAGGATGGGCTTTCTGACAGACACAGGTCTAAATAAAGCAGTTGCCACCTGTATAGCAGGAGAAACACCTGCTTAAAAAATCACGTTATTATTTTTTTTTTTTTTTTACCCATAGGATTAAATTGATGGGCTTTGCCTTCCTAGGAGAGTTTTCAGTGCTCGGACCCCATAAACTGGAGTTACTGATGTCAACATCCTGAACTGGAACAGCTCTGTCTCCAATGTTGCACTTCACCTGCTGTGTTTAAATGAGGGAATTAATGTTCTGGTTACAATCAGAGGGCTTTTTAACGAGCACAGAACTCTCTGTCCAGGGGATTTGGTGGAGTTTCCTAATTCAGTGTCGGCTTTGCAGCAGCTCCAAACTCTTCCCAAGGCGACAGCTACACCCGTGAGAGTTATCTGTGGTTCCTTTCTATTTTCATTCCAGATTTCCAGGGAATATCCTGCCTTTTCCTTGCTCTTCCTTTCCAGGTTGTCTCTTCTAGTGGAAGGTGCCCCTGCCCATAGCAGGGGATTAGAACTAGATGGTCTTGAGGGTCCCTCCCAACCCAAACCAGTGGCTGAGGACACAAATTGGTTCTGGAGCTGCCTCTGTTGCTGCAGGAACTGGGAATTTTGCTGTACTTGGTAGTGTAGAGACACAGCTTTGGCTGGATTTGTGTGCCCTGAAGAAATAGCAAACAAATCTCTGTTTATCCTGGTTTAGGAGAAGCTCCTTTCCCCTCTTTGGGAAAAGCTTTCCAAGGACTTTTTCCTGGGAGGAAGGATGGATAGCGTGAAAATGGTGCTGCAGTCACTGTGTGATGCAGCAAAGTGCTGTGCCTTTGCACACAAAAGGTTTTCCTCTTCATCCAGGATTCTCTTTGTTTAACCACCCTCTTTTTCATTCTCATAGTCTGGAATAAAATGGTGTCTCCTTTGGGAAGGGTTTTTTTTTAAGTTTTTGAGCAGCCTGATAAGATCCTGGTTACGGTGCTTCAGCTGCAGAAGAAATCTATAGATATTATTTGTATAATATAAATAAAACATTCACAGTTCAGGCACAGCTGAGTGCTGCTTTATGGGGAGGGCAGTCAGCAAGGCAACTGATTTATGGCTGTTCCCTCTTTTTCTCCCTCAAGATGTTTATGTAATTGGAGGGCAGAAACCCCAGTAAACTGCTTTAAACACAGGCTGTGAGCTGGAGGGAGAGGCTGTGTCAGTTCTTTGTGTTGAATTGCCTTCCCCCTGGGTCGATGCTGAGAAGTTGACTGTCACTTCACCAGCTCTGGATAAATGAGGCAGTGCCTAAAAAGCCTGTATTTGAGTATGCTAATAATAAAGGCTGGGAAAACTGGGCAAACAGGTCAGTGTGACCCACTAGTCATTCACAAACACACGTGGTGCCGAAAAACACGTGTGTATAATTTTCTTTCTATTTTGCTAAAAAAAAATGTGGGTGTTTAATAATTAGGAATTGTGTGGTTGCCCTCTGTATTTAAAAAAATATTATCATTCCCCACCACTGTTTGGAGTAAGATGGGTTTTTCGTGGTGGTCTGGGCAGCATTAATTGGCCAAAAATACATTCCAGAGGTGTATCAGGGGTTCTAGACACTGTGTTCTGATGGAGTCTGTGACTACTGACTTGTTAATGCATATTTAAACGGTTTCATAAAAGATTTAGAAATAACAACACAGTCCAGGCTGTTGTCAGAAAAGGGGTTTATTTCAGATTGATATTTCTATTCCATTTCCAGTGGTGTTAGCTCTCCTCTACGTGCCTGGCTTAGGGGAAAAATAAAAAAAAAGAGCCATGCAAGTGCTGTGCAGCCAGGGAAATCGTTGGGATTAGTTAATATTCATTTCTTGAAAGAATGGAGGAAGGTAGTTGTGCAAATTAATATGGAAAGCAGGAGTGTTTGTGAGGCACAGATCTCTGGCAATAGGCCCAAGCGAGCTCAAATCAGAATATATTATTGTAATCCTCCAATCCCCACAACCCAGATGTTCCTTCAGCTCCCTGGCATAGTGGGGGGAAGAGAAACAGGATTGTTTCGTGCTCCTTGCTGCTGCCCTGTTCCCAAACACCTGGGTTTTAACCGGGCTGTGATTTGTTCGTGTCTGTTCCTCTCCTTGGTCGGAGAGCGACGGTGCAGCAGGAGCTGCCAGAACAAATTGGTGCTCCGTGGGGTGAGGAATTCCAGTGTTTCTGTGCCCTGCCACCCTCCCCAGAGCAGCACACATCCACAGGGAACCTCTGGAAGAGGGCAGGTTTGGGCAGAGCTCTCTCCCCGCTCCCGTTCCCGAGGGAGGGTTTTCCCGAATTCACGGCTTCGGTTTTGTGTCCGCAGGGCAAACTGCACGACCCCCAGCTCATGGGAATCATTCCAAGGATTGCACATGACATCTTTGATCACATCTACTCCATGGATGAGAACCTGGAGTTCCACATAAAGGTAAATGTGGAGCGACACGTTACGTAACGGGACGGACGGAAGTCGGGGCCAGCTGGGGAATCAGCCCTTGGGGTTTTTTGGGATTTTTCCTCCCTCCCTCAAAAATCACTGATGTTACTGAGGGTATTTCCTAGAAATAACCTAACCCAGCTGCTGGTTGTTGATGGAATTTCTTCTTGAGTGCTTTTCCAGCTCAAGTTTCCTGGGAAAACCAGCCACCCCTGGCAGAAAACACTGATTTGGCTGCAGCTTCTCCAAAGGCTGGAGCTCAGCCCCACCAGTAAAGGCCATAAATACCATCAGGGACATTTGTGGGAATGCTGACACGTCCCTGTCTTGAGGGGAAGGGTCTTCCACAGTATTTGGGGCTGAAATGGGGGAGAGATGGCTTTGGGCCATTCAGGGGAGGATGTTTAGAAGTAATTTTTAGCTCAAAAGCTGATTTAGTGGGCTCTTTGTGATGGTGCTCTGGGGCTCAGTTTGAACACCCATGTTTTTCCCCGTCCCTGTCTCGATCCCAGCCATCTGATCTCTCAGATTTATTTGAGTGACCTTTAATTCCCACTGTTCATCCAGTTCTCCTGGGGAGCTCTCAGCCATGGGGGGCATTGCTCCATCTGGCAGAGTCGGGGTCAGGCTGCAGCTTGTTTCCATCAGTAAAATTACCCAGTGGATTGCAGGAAAAATGGGTTCTATGTGTCACTCCCCGAAAAAAGAACCCCACACAAAGCACACCTAGATGGTTTTGGTGAAGTTCAGTAGCTGAGCAGAGGTAGAGTGTGAAGGGACAGTCCCTTCTCCTTCCATGAGGGATGCTCCCTGAGAATGGAGCTCCCTGAGAATGGAGCTCTCTGTCCTTCCTGTGCCTAAAAGTTAAGTGACTTTTTAGCTCTGCTTGCATTAAAGCACCTGAAGCACTTCTGGGGAATAAATATATATATTTATTTTAATAATCTGGTACCTCTGAACCAGCTGCTGCTCTTCTGGGAGGACTCAGCACTGAGAACCTTCTTGGCAGGGCCTGTTTGTGGGGAGCTCACGAAGTACAGACAGTGGGTAGAAAGTACAAATAAATCATTAAACACTTTAACAGGCCTTAAACCATAAAATACTGAGCTCTTTAAGAAGAGACACCTCTGAATTGTCACACAAATGGCTTCCACAGGAGTGACTTCCACTGGTTTTGTTCCCTTCTCTGCAAAGCTTTTCCCACGTGATCCCAGCAGATGGAGACCCCGAGATGTAGTAAATTCCTGCCCCAGCAGAAGACAGCACTTTATAAATCATCTTCTGCCAGCACAGGATTGTTTCAGTGCTTTCCCATCAGAGCTGACATCCCTGAATATCTTAACAGAAAAGCTGCCTAAATAGCAGGGAGTGAGTGAGTGATTGTACAAGGAGCTGTCAGGGAGAGAAATGCCTGTTCTGTCATCAGGAGCCAGGATTTAACCAAGCTGTCACACTCCTTTAATAACTGAGCCAACACTGAAAATTAATATCTTTTTTTTTTTTCTTCTCCCCCTCTTCAATTCAGATCCATTTAGAGCAGGGAGGTGTCTCTGTGTTGGTCCCCAGCAGAGTGTTAAGAGGATGATACAAAGCACTTGATTTAAGTCTGGCTTAGCTGGAATGAGCTGGGCCAGAGCAGGGCTTTAGGTGGGGCACAGGGGGAGAAAAGGCACAAAAGCAACATATGTCTGTGTTTAACAGCAGCTGTCACTCAGGAAGATCAACTCACCCCTATAAAAACCCCAGATAATTTGTTTTTCAGGTGAGACTTTACCAGATAGCAGGTTTACTGATACCTAGAGTGTAACCATCTAGTATTCTAGTTAAATATTCCTGGATAAAGCTTATTTAGGGAATGGTTAGACCCCATTCCTCTAACTCTGTTTACCTCTGCAGGTCAAATACCCTTTTATTAAGAGACTCATTCATTCATTTTCCTTCTTTTTTTTTTCCTTAGGGCAGTTGTGTCTCTTTGTTAGAGAACAGCTGATTTTCAGTTTCTTCCTAATTCATGACAGAATCCTGGGTTTAAATTAAAACCTTAATTTTATATAGATTGCTTAAGCCTTCATTGAAACGTTTAATTTAATATAAATATTGTTTAGGCTTATGGAAGTTTTATGTCAAAGGTGCTTTCTGCTTTTGTGGGGGTCATTATCAATTTACCTTTTACTGCTCTCAAACCTGACCCTTCTCCTGAGCCACCTGCACTGATATGAAAGCATGAAAATAGGAATTGATTGATTCTGCTCAGTATTTTTGTCAGTTTTGCCTGTGTTGAAAAATGAATTAAAGGAGATATAAGATTTTCCTGAAAGGCTTTTTTTTTGGGGGGGGGGTGTAATTTCCTGATGAATCATTGATAAATGGAGAAGGATCAATGACTTGTAAATCATTCAAGATCCAAGGAAGTTCCCAAGGAAGATGTAATGCAAACTGTGTGGGAGCTGGGGCTTATTTTAGTTTGGTGCTTTGACAGAGATGGAAACACAGAGAGATTTTTTTAAATCACCAACAACCTTTTAAATCTGTTTATGATTATTTGATCAGGTTTCCTACTTTGAGATATATTTGGACAAAATAAGGGACCTCCTGGATGGTGAGTTCTGCGTTTCTGCCGTGCCTTGTGCTCGAGGGGAAACAGTTACTTTATTTGGGAGGGAATTAAATTTAAACTGTGTGACTGGCTGTGAGAAGGCGAATTTTGCAGTTTGAATCATCTGATCTGTCTCCTGTGCACCTGCCTCTGCAGTGCTCCAGAGCTCTGGCTGGGAATCAGCGAGCACAGAGACCTCAAGGCAGGGCTGAGCCTCTCTGGCAATTCCTGTCCTTAAAGTAAAACTGTGCTTTAAAAACGTGGAGAGCTCCTTCCTCGCTTTGCTGCTGTGAAGGGAAGTGTTACAAATTTAATACAGTCAAAATGTGCCTGTCAGGACTGCAGTTTACACTTTATTACCTGTGCAATATTCCCTAATCACCTCCATCCTTGTTTCCAGTGTCAAAGACAAACCTCGCTGTCCATGAAGATAAAAACAGAGTCCCATATGTTAAGGTAAAGGGATAATTTAATCCTCAAGTTTCTCCTTCTTTTTTCACATATTGCATCTGTTTCCCCATTTCCATTTCCATCCCCCTGAAATGATTCAGCTCAGGTTGTATTGGTTCCTGGATTGAAAGAGTTTCCTGAAATATTAATGGGCTTTGAGTCGTGTTTGTTTTATTTTCCCGACTTTTGAACGTTTCCATTTTGTTGCTATGGTGTTAAATTTTAAGTATTCTTGTTCTCCTTTCATGTCAGATATGAAAGAGGAACAACCTGAAGAATTTTGTTCTTTAACGTTTTCTTGCACAGGTGCTTTAATCCTGCAATACTTTAGAAGGGATTGGTGGGGTTAGGAATCAGTTTTTTAAATTTCTGGGCCCTCACTTAAATGTGATATATTTGTTATGGGCATATGTGAGCCTTGATAATACACATATAATAATTTTCTGTTTATTCTCAGCCTGGGGAGCAAAAAAAAAATAAATATAATAATGTATTCAGTAATATTGCATTAAGACAGAGAACAAGGACTTTGCATCTTGTAGTTTGAGAGAGAAAAAGATTAATTTGGGGTACCTAATCCAACCCAAATTAATAACAGGAATAGGTGTTGTGTGTCTTCTACACAGAGGAGATTTCCTGCTGCATGTTTGGGTTTGGCTGAGTCTTTAATCTTGTAAAAAGCAGTTTCCTCCCAAGTTTACCCCCTGGACTCCTGAAAGTCACACAAAGGCAGGTTCTGATCCATTGCCTCGCTAACGAGCCTGGTGGATGAGGATGGTTCTCCTAATTATTTTCCTTCATTAGTGCTAAATACACCTCCTGAAGGGCTTTTGCAGCACCAGGAATGTCTCTGATTCCCGCTTGCCTCTTCCTAGGGCTGCACAGAAAGATTTGTGTCCAGCCCTGAGGAAGTTCTGGATGTCATCGACGAAGGGAAGGCCAACCGGCACGTGGCCGTGACAAGTGAGTGTTCCCTGGAGCTCCCCTGGCTCCAGGCTTTGGGTGGCTGTACCTCCTAGGGAGGTGTTGATCCTTCACAAAGCACTCTGAGTCGCTCACAAGAACAAATCACAGCGCTTTAAAATTAACAAACTGCGCTTTCGGTGCCGTTTCGCTGCGCGCAGAGACCTCGAGTGGCTCTCAGCTCTGAGCCCCCTGGATTTAACTCCAGTGGCTCTGTGTTGCTCCATGAGACATCTCACCGTGGATTGTTGCACAGAATGAAGGTGTTGGGGAATGATGAGGAACTAAAATGATGTATTTACATTATTTCTCTTTGTGCTGCAAGGCCAGAACTGGGGGCGAGTCGCTGGTCCGGCAGCAGCCAAGGAGCTCAGAGCAGTTTTCAGCCTCTGCCTGTTTATCTCCTGCTCTGACTGGAGCTCCAGGGATGGCAAAGCAAACAAATCTTCCTGAGTTAAACCCCATCATAATCCCCTTGGCCTGTGCCAAACTTGCTGGCATGACAGGGATGAAAGGGCCTGTCCCCCAGTTTGTACTGGGAGATGTCTTTGATCCGGCAGTGAACTTGGCAGAGCCTCACTTTATAACTCCAGCCTTGGTGGTGGGGGGGTATTTTGGGTATATTTTTGGGGGTTTTGTGCTTTTTTTTTTTTTTAATTTAGTTTAATTTAATTTATTTTGATGCCCTGGGTAACTCCTTTCTCTTCCACGTCTCTACCTTCTTTCTATGAGAAATACTATATTGCTTCATCTTTCCCGTGCCTTTCCCCTCATGCTGATAGAAATTCATCCTCTTTCTTCTGATTGGCATTTCCTCCCATTATTTCTGCTATTTTCTTCAACAAAAAAAATACCCAAATACACCTTTTTTTTTTTTTTTTCTGGGATATTACCTGTTGCTTTTGGTGCACTTGGAAAAGTTCTGCCAAAGGCTGACAGACAGTGAATTTTGCCTGGACTGAAATGGAAAGGAGAAAACTGGGAAGTGTCACTGAAAAAATAAAACAAAACAAAACACCAAAGAGTTTGGAGATGGAGGAGAAAAAGGGAATTCAAATCAATATGAACCTTGATGGGAATGGGGGAAAGGTGGAGGTGGGTTTATGGGAACAGAGAAAATAGAGAGAAAATGATTTACTGGTTCTTAATATTTTCTTATTTTGCTACTTTATGAAACTTAAAGCATAACATAGTTACAACCAAACTTGTACTAAGTGGAAGCTGAAACTGTAGCTGCCTGTGTTTCACCCCTGACCTGGGTGAAGAAGGATTTTTAACTATGTAAGCAATAGAAATCATTCTGAAATTTGAATTTAAATGGTGTGGGTTTAATGAAAACTTTTGCTAAACGTTGGGAGACCTCACACCATTGCACCAAGACCTGCCCAGCTTCTTTTTATTGCAATTATTATGATTATTTTGGTCGTGCTGGGAGAGAGTGGGAGCGTGTTTTGTAGCCCATGAGCTTTATTTACAGCTCCTGAAGGGTCTGGGCTCTCCTTTGGATTTGGTGGCCACAGCCCAGCTGTGATGAGACACCATCCCTTGTCAGGTTTTAAAGCCATCTAAACCAAGCCTGTGATTGCAGATATGAATGAACACAGCTCCAGGAGCCACAGCATCTTCCTCATCAACATTAAACAAGAGAACGTGGAAACAGAGAAGAAACTCAGTGGGAAGCTCTACCTGGTGGACTTGGCTGGAAGTGAGAAGGTGAGTTTTCCTTTTCCCTGATCTCCTGAAGGATCCTGGTGGGATCAGTGCAAACTGAGGGAGATTTTACAGAAAAACTACCCTTAGGTGATCATCAGTAAGGTTATTTTTACTTGCTGGAGAAAAGGGACAAATCTGAACTGTTGGGGTGAAATTCAACCCCCCAAAATCTGCAATCACTTACAGTGGAGGGGGTTGAACCAGTGTGTGCTTATCCATAATTTACACTGAGTTATAGAAAAAAGAAATGTAATTTTTATTGGACAGCTATTTTAGCTTGCTTATATTCAAACATACCCTGTTTCTAGATTTTCTGTAATTATTGCACAGATTACATTGAAGTACCAGCAGTTAACACAGTTAACAATGTCTCTCTTGATTGTGGTGACTATTTCTGCTTTCCAGTAGAGAAAAATAATAACCAGAAAAAAAAACTTTATGTATTTACCAAAAGAGTGATGGTCTAGAACAGTATTACAGTGCAAAAAATACTTCCCAGTTCCCATTCTAACGTGTTCTGGAGTGCTCAGAACTGGTTTTAGTGGTGTTCTCAGGTTGCTTGCTGGGACACACTAATTTGGTAACCCATTGGTACAATGCAGGAGTTAATAATGTCGATGTCTGTGATTGCATATATTATTACATGTTAAATTAAAAGCTCTTTGTGGTGTTTACAAAATGAGGGCCTAGTCAGGCGCTGCACTTCTCTGAAGAAATTAACTTTTTTGGGTCACCACGTTAGGATGTTGTACAGAAAACCTGAAGTAAGGGTTTCCTTGGTGGGTTATCTTCTTAAAAAATACAACTATTCTTCTGTCTTGTAGCATTTTCAGAGGAAAGCACAGATACTCTAGTTTTAATTAGAGAAAAAAATACGGCTTTATTCTACATTTCTGTGCCTTTTCTCCTGAACAAAAAGAAGGGCCAACTTGCTCTCAGAGGTGGAATTTTTACAGGCCTCCTAACAAAGAAGTCCGTATAAAATTCTCCTCCTTCGTGCTGGGGCCAAGCTTGGCTGGTTTTAATTCCAGGAGCATCTTCAGGTGTTGCACTGCGTGCCCTGGTGGCTGGGCCTGACTGTTCCTGCTCTCTTTGGTAGGTCAGCAAAACTGGAGCGGAGGGAGCTGTTCTGGATGAAGCTAAAAATATCAATAAGTCTCTGTCTGCTCTAGGCAATGTGATATCTGCCTTGGCAGAAGGAACTGTAAGTAATCCTGTTCTGTGTTGTTGGAGAATGGCTTTTTATTTATCTGTTTCTTTGCCGTCCACGTGAAGGCAAAAAACCGCGAGCTAACGTTTCGATTCGGAGGGAAGAAAACATTTGGCTTTCCAGCCCCAAACCGGCGACACTCGCGCTGCTCTGCCCGAGATAAGAAACCTAATTCTCGGTGATTTCACCTGGGTGGTTATCCAATCTCAGCACAATCAAAACAACCACTCCTCAGAACCCCGTGCCTCGGATCTGTTACATCTGCCACCGTCGTTGCGGCGTCCCCGCTCGAAGCGAAATTGTTCTTGTCTCTCGCTCTTGTGTTTCGATCAGAAAACCCACGTTCCGTATCGAGACAGCAAGATGACCCGAATCCTCCAGGATTCCCTGGGGGAACTGCAGAACCACCATTGTCATCTGCTGCTCTCCCTCGGTGTTCAACGAGGCCGAGACCAAGTCCACGCTGATGTTCGGGCAGCGGTGAGTCCTGCTGGGAGTGGTTGGTGACGCTCCCCCGGGCTCTCCCACGTGTCCCTGGTGCTGAGGGGGAGCGGGGCAAGGAGGCAGTAAATGCTTTCTGGATTTGCTCAGAAATAGGACTGGAAAACTTGAGAGAACTGTCCCTTCATTCCCCAGCGGCGCCAGAAAAATAAATGTTAATGTTGGCTAGCAGCTGCTCCGCTTAAAAGCCCTGGTAGATTTCCCTGCAAAGGGTTATCACAGTGCTTTGAAATTTTCTGGGGAAGGTAATGGCACTGGGCAGTTTTCCCTTGGATAACCCAGTGGAAAATGTTCCCTTTTGCTTTATGTGATGCTGCCCTCGGTGCTTTTAGGAGGTGTCTTCTCCCTGAGTGGCACCTCAGGGATCGTCGTTACAGCTCTAAAAAATATCTTGAGAGCGTTAAGGAAGTTGAAGAAGGTGGGGTCTGTGTAACCCTGACAGCTTGGATGGATTACCAGGGTGGCTCATGGACATGCTGGTGTTTGAAGGGTCTTAACAAGTCCTCAGAAACAAGCAAGGATAAGATAAAAATGTGGATGCACCCAGGAAGAAAATTTCTCCCCCACATGTGTTCATTGCCAGTAATCATATGGGAGTACATTTGGAAAGTTTGCAGAAATGAGGTCAGGCTCATTATGTAATTACTACTCTTGTGGTAATTGAGGAGAACTCGGATACTTTGGAAAATTACTCATTTTGATTTATTTGTGTAATAGCAGAAAGGAAAAATCCTAGCAGGTTAGGATTGCTTGAAGTAGAATTTAACAGTCTGGAGGCTGCAATGAAATGTGTCTTTGTCTGAAAATTGGTTTGTTTTCCACCATCTGTAATTCTGGGGCTACAAAAGGAGGCAGGGACCATTAACTCAATCAGGTTTAGAGCTGCCATGTGGTTTTATTTCACCATTTTATGATGAGTAAGAAGTTACTGGAGATACAAGCTTCTACTTCCCATATCTACGTGTGCCACAGAATATTTAAATAAACACAATAATTAACACAGTATTTAAATTAAAGGCATTAACAACTTAGAAGCCCAGCTTCCCTGTCGGATTCCAGTTTACCTTCCTCTTGGTTTCATTTCTCCTTCCAATATCCAGTAAAATTTGCCTTCCTATTGGGGGGCAAAAGAGTTTTCAAATCCACTTCTCACATTCCTGACTGGAATTTTAATTTTAATTGCCAGTAAGCACTTCACCCACCATTAGGATAAACTTTATGGTGTGATTGGTTTTTTTTTTCCTCAATGCAGTCAAATGAGTGGAAACTGGAGCCCTGCTTTTAGCAGACTGTGTAAACCCTGGCCATTAGGAGTTATTTTAAAAGCACTGGGTTCCTTTAAGATATTTTTTTGAGGTAACAAAACTTCCTGCAAAGCACTGGAGCTTTGCAGACTGGTGGGAGGTTTGCCTGTTGTTCCATTGCTTATCTTCTGTTTTATCCAGTAACACTGGAGTCCTTTGAAGGGACTGTGAGCAGGGAAGGGCAAAGATCTGAAGCTTTCTTAATTCACAGTGATTTGTTTGGTTTTTCTTTCTCAGTGTGGCTCTGCTGGGGTGGGTGCTGTGCCTTGTTTTCTGCTTGCTCTGCGTGTCCTGTCGTAGCTGTTGGGGTTGGGTTGGAGCTGAGAGCCTGCACAGTAACAAAGAGCTGCTGGCTGTTGGTAGAAGGGTTTAAATTTTGAGGATGTTTTTGCCTAGAGAGGCAGTAAATCAGGAGTGAATCATGAGCCAGTGAACTCCAGTGGCACAGGCAAGAGTTCAGCCTCCCTCCCTCAGCCCTGGAGTGACCCTGGTACCCGGTGGTGACCCCGATTCTCCTCCCTCCCTTCCTTCCACCCGCAAAATTGCGTTTGTTTGGCTTTCAAGAAGGATCAATTTCCCTCACTGGGCTGACACCCTTCGTGCTGAGGTGTTGGGGACAGGGCTGAGTTGGGTTGGTGGAGCTGAAGGGGTGGCTGTGACGAGACTGGGACAGCCCGTGGTGAGATGCTGTGGTGGGTCCCAGGCCAGGAGAAGCTGTGAGGTGACAGCTCACCCAGCACAGCAGGAACGGCAGGGCTTGGCTTTGTCCTTAATCCAAGCACACATTCCAGAGCTTCTCATTCTCACAGAATCCTGGAATTTACTTGTGTTGGAAGGGACCTTAAAACCCATCCCATCAGGGACACCTTCCACTAGCCCAGGTTGCTCCAAGCCCTGTCCTTGGACACTTCCAGAGATCCAGGGGCAGCCACAGCTTCTCTGGGAGTCTCCCTTTGTGTTATGGGCAAACTTTGCTCTGAGATAAAAGCCAGACCACAGCTGACCCCGGGTTTCACTGGGCAGAGCCAAGACCATCAAGAACACGGTGTCCGTGAACCTGGAGCTGACGGCCGAGGAGTGGAAGAAGAAGTACGAGAAGGAGAAGGACAAAAACAAGAGCCTGAAGAACGTTATCCAGCACCTAGAGCTGGAACTGAACAGGTGGAGGAACGGTACGTGCCGGGAATCGGGAATGGGGGGCGCTCTTTGTGGTTTTTAAGGTGCAAATGTTTAAATCTTGCCTCGAGTCACTAATTCAGAGCTCAGTTGTAGCTCAGGCTTCAGAACAGGAACTGAGAAGGTGAAGGAAGAAAAGCCAGGGAAACCAGCAGCAGCTGTTTACAGAAGGAACCATTTGAATTCCCAAATTAGTTTGATGTCAGGCGTAGAGAACACAGGGAGGCATCGCTAATTTTAATAGTGTTAATAATATTAAGAAAGAAAAAGAAATATGGCATTTTTTGCTCTTTTTTTGGAAAGAATTCTGCTCCTCAGGCACGAGAATCACTTCCACTGTGCTTTAAGGTAACTGGACCTTGGGGTTTTTCTGTAGTTGAATTTAACACTGGAATAATTAGTCCTTTGGTACAAAGATTGGGAGTGTCTTCTGGCTGGAAGAATCACCACTTGTCTCCTTCTGTGGCTTTTAAGTGAAGTTTGTGCTGAGAGCAGCCAATTTTCTGTTTAGAAACACAAGAAATTGCTGTTCAGGCAGGTTGTAAGATCAAGTGTAGGATGGTAGAGAAAGAATTTTTTTTATGCACCTTTTATTTCATCTGGAATGTTGAAAAACCAAAACCTTCCTTACTTAAAATTTTTTATTTCACATTTTAAAAAAATCAAACCCCAAGCCAACAAATAACCCCCCAACCCAGAGAAACCAGCCCTGCATCCCTCCTGAAATCTCAACAGACCTCTGAATAAATAAAATACTGCTGCTTTGGAGCAATTTTTATTTTTTAAAGTGCTTGTCATCCAGGTCCTGTGTGTCAGTGTGCAAGCCAGAAGCCTCTAAAGCCAGAACAAATTTGTGATTTAATTATAAATCCCCCTCTGCCATCTGGGTTTGAACATTCTGAACATCCTGGGTGCCTGGAAGATAACACCTGACCTTTTGAGGGCAGGGAAATTGCTTCCCTCTCTCATCTCCCCGTGCAGTTTCCTCGCCTTTCAGATGAGATGGTTACCTCGTGGCTGTGCTCCCTGCCTTCCTCTGGAGGCTCCAGCCCAGGGAATATTCCCCTTATCAGCACAGTGCCATTGCTGTGGAGATGTGGGGCTGCTCTTGGCAGTGCTGGGATTTACACCCTGCTTGTTCTCCCTCCTTCGACCCTGCTTTGCTAAATGTGACCACTTTAATTTCCTCCCCATCCCAGAAACTCTTTTTTTTATTTTTTTTCCCCCAGAAATCCTTTCTCTGTGCTGTGGAAACAAGCCTGTCTCTGCTGTTTTGTCTAAATCCTCCCCCTCCTCATCCCCCCTCCCATCAGTCCTGCTGTTCTCATCAGTGTTACCCAGCAATACATTCAAAATGCTATTGATTTCTTGTCTGACCTTCTGCAATCCCATCCTCTGGAAGGATCCACTGGCAGAGGAGCCTCTTCACAAAGGAGAGTTTCACAGGGGTTGCATCTTGGATAATATTCCACTGGCGCGGTTTATTCCAGAAATTAAGAAGATATTATACAAAATAAATAGGTATTATACAAAATAAATAGGTATTATGCAATATAAAATGGTAGCAGGAAATGGGTGTGCCCAGTTCTCACTGCAGCTGCATTTCAGCAGCCAGGTCTGTGTTTTTACAGGTAGGACATTGTTGTCCAATGAATGGAAAATTTAAACATTCCTTCTGGGAGGCTCCTGATGGATTCTCCACAGCCTGAGGAGCATTGCCCTGTGCACAAACCTTCCCTGCTCTGCTCCAGTGAAATCCAGCAATGAAAAATCAATTTACATTTCCCTCAGTAATGACAGAGAATATCACCAAGCCTTTAGAAACAGGGGAAAAAAAATACTTTAAGTGATGGAGGTGACAGTGCTTGATTTCAAATCACATTTTTTTCACGCTTTAAGCTTGAAAAAAAAATTATTTCCCCTGTTAGTTGGTCTTGCTCTTTCATGCCCTGTGTTGTTTCACTTTGGGGCCTGAATCAGCCTGTCTGGGGTTTGATGTATTTGTCCTGTTTCCTTGTTTCCCTGCCAGTAAGATAAAACAAAGCATTCTGGCAAGAGGAATGGCTGGTGAAGCTTTGTGGGGCTGAAATATTGTAGCTTTTTGTGGAAAAGGGGGAAAAAAAAATAACCCTGTTTGTGGTGAAGGGTTGGCTGTAACCTTGCCACACCCTGAGCAGTGTGTGCAGCACTCAGGGGCTCAGAGTTTCCCAGCAGACTGGGATGGGAGCAGATTGAATTCCTGTCTCTCCCCACTGAGCTGCAGCAGGGTCGGAGTTGTGATGCACCACCATCACTGAGGGAAATATTCCTTGGGGACAATGACTCGGAAGGAAAATGGGCCTGGTATGCACAGGCAACAGCTGAAAGTTGGTGTTTGGGCTTTAATTTACGTGGCAGAAGGTGAATGTTGCTTTAAACACACCTGCCCTGCTGTTGTCCTGGGAGGGAGGGTCGATAACACAGCTGGGAATCTGAACAGAAAGAGAGATTTAATTGCCAACAGTCTTTGGGAAGTCAGGGCTTTTTCCTCCTCATTTCCACCTCTGGTAAACCATGGAGTTAATCCCACCTGTCCAGGGCTTGAGGGAAAGCAGAGCCAGGAGCTCAAGTGTTTTTGATGGCAGCTGCTCAACCTGTTGCTCCGTTTTCGTGGGATCGTAAGGTTGGAAAAGACCTCCATGGTCGTGGTGATGCAGGTTTGTGTTTCCAGCCACGGAGATCATCATCCTAACGAGGATGGCCACCTTTCCACACCTGCTTTTCCTTGTCATTTGTGTCCCTGGCAGTGGCATAAAGCCCCTCTTTGCTTTCCCGGGTCCCTCTCGGCGCCTTCGAAGGACCATCCTAAGATATCCGTGGTTTTGGACACCCCTCTGTCTTGGATTGTGTGCCTTGCAGGGGAAGCTGTGCCAGAGGATGAGCAGATCAGTGCAAAGGACCAGAAGAACCTGGAGCCCTGTGATAACACCCCCATTATTGACAACATCACCCCGGTCGTTGCCAGCATCTCCACGGAGGAGAAGCAGAAGTACGACGAGGAGATTGCCAGCCTCTACAGACAGCTGGATGACAAGGTGGGATTTCACCCCCCATTCGCTGGGTGTAAATGGAGAACTCTGCCAAAGTGGGTGGCTGTTTGTCATCCTTGAGCATCCCAATTGGAAAAACGTTGGAGAATTCCAAACTCTCTCCATTGCATCAAAGCAGGTCTGCTCAGCGATCTCCCTCTGCTCCCTGGGCAGTGTTTGGGGTCGCTCTCCACGAAATCAGAGCCAAAATTCCCTTTGATTTTAATGTCTCAGTGCAGGCTTTTCATCACTCCTTTCCTTCAGTGATTTCTGTAAAATCCCTCACCAGAAAAACAAGGGGGACTGCATCTTAATATTTTTATAATGTATTAGAATTTTAAGGGAAACACACCCATCCCTTGGGTCTCTTTTGTCAGTGCTGCTCTTTCTAGCTGTGTCCAAAGTGCAGGTGGCTTATTTATTTATTTATTTGCACAGCTTGAAAGTCATCACTGGCACTTAAAGCTCTCAGCAATACACTCACCCAGGGCTGGCCATTAATAGCTTTGTGTGAAAATGATAAGTGGGGAGGAGGGGGGAAAATAAAAAAAAGGCCCACTAAAACCATTGTCCATTATGGATGAGAGCAGCATAAAAGGCTGTCTAGCAAAAGGGGAGCTTTCATCATGAATCAATACTCAATTCTAAATTTCAGTTGTAATTAGCAGGGAAATATCAGGGAAAAAAAAACCAACAAACAACAACAAACCTCCTCTGTGGCCTTGTCTGTTAACACTGGAGTTTGGCTGTTTGGGAATAGCCAGGGGAGGGAGTGGGCTGTGTTTAAACAAACCTTAATTTTTGATGTGCATGAGATCTCTGGTTGCATGCAGCAGTGTGTTTGTTTGTTGATGGCATTGAAAAGAGCAGTTAAGAAATTACAGCTGTTTTTCTGATGGAGAATGCATGCCCAGTAGCAATCTCTCCAGCTTTTACATATTGATTAGGAAAAGGAAAAAAAAAAACAGAAAAGGCAGTCATTCTTTCACTTTCCTCATCAAAAGTAGCGAGGCCCTTTGAATTATTCTTGAGGGAACTGGCAGCAGGTTTGAGTTTTACCCTAGAAAAACACAGGAAGAAAATTTAATGCATTATTGCAGGACTGTGGGAAATAAGAGGGTGTTTTATCCCCAAAACAACTCCAAAATATCACCATTTATACTTTTCCGGTGTAGCTCTGTGCATGTATATTTTTCTCTCTCTCTTACCACCCCAGGGTGCACAAGGTTTGCTGTGCTATTTTTCCTTCTTTTCTAGAAAGGGGAGATAAAAAGTGACCAAATGAGAGCCGTGAAAAGAAACTAAAAACCTCCCACCCTTTTTTCATTGCAGGATGATGAAATCAACCAGCAGAGCCAGTTGGCTGAAAAACTAAAGCAACAAATGTTGGATCAAGAGGAGGTAAGAAAGTTTAAAAAAAAAAATAAACCAACCAAATGAAAAACTCTTTCATTTTTTCTTGTGAGCCCCTTGTTTAGTGATTCTGTCCCATTTGTTCCTGTAAACTGGCTAAAATTCAATAGATAAGAAGAGCCTGTGTGTCAGCCAGGTTTAAACTTCAGATTTCATAATGTTGTCAGAGGAACATTAAACCTTGATAAGTCCTTATAGTAACAATCCATCCTGCTGGGAGGTGATGCTGGAGGTCCAAGGCAGGAGTGTGGCCAGTATTTTCCACTTCAGATGTGGTTTTTCAGTATGTCTGCACCCTCTCAGGTATCCAGACGCTGTGGACTGCAAGGAGGTGCAGATTTCCCGCTCTGACTGTGTAAAAAAAATTACTCCTGCTAATAAATTACTGATGTTCATTATTTTGGCAATTGGGAGGCAGTAATGGGAGAAACCTGTGAGATGGAAAACCTGATTATTGGTGCTGCCACAGATTTGCTTTAAAATCTTGGCTCGCTCACTTCAAACGTCTTGATTTCATGGTTTCTGTCCATAAAATGAATGTTTGTTGGTTTTAAGAGGGGGGGAAACACGATCACTAAACCTACAGTCAGGTTATTCCCTGGCCTGCCATTTGTTTACAGGAGGATTTGAAGGTGCAGAGTGAGGCAATAACACTAAATCACCGAGAGTTCCCCGAATGTTGCTGTGATATTTCTTAGAAATTGCTTTTACGCTGGCGGGAAATTGGACAAGGGCCATTCAGCCCCGGAATATTAATCCTGGGGTGGGAGTTCATCCATCATCAATCAGCGTTCCCAAACACTGCTCTCTCTTTTCAGGCCACGCTGCTGTGATTCTCTAGCAGTGGCTCTGCCCAGCTGGAGCACAGCCCTCCTCTGGCTGCTTTTTTGGGGTGTGAAGCCTCTTTTTTAATAAACAAATCCTTCTGTCCACGCCTCAGTCCTCACCCAAGCCCTCGGAAAGGGTCGCCAAGGCCCCCTTATGGTGTCTGAGCGTTCCTGTCACTCGTCACTCATGACTTACCTGCCACCTCTGGGGCTTGTCCTCTCTGCAGGAATCACCAGCCTTGTTTAATCCCGTGATTAAGCTCCTCACTCCCTGTGCCACAGCTTTGTTTGGCTGCCCGTGCCCGTGGCCACACAAACCCAACAGCCTCTTGTGCCTTCTCAGCACCATGGTTTGCTGACGTGTGTTGGGGTTCTGTTTGTGTCATCTCACCTCTCCCATCTTTTTCACATCACTCTTCTCACCTAAAGCTTATTTTAAAGCTTTTTTTTTAAATTATTATTATTATTTTCTGATGTCTCATTTTTTTAGTGGGGGGGATGTTTATTCCTTTGTGTTAGCTGGTTGGGAGCAACTAACACAATTATTCCCCACTCTCCACATTCCATACTTGATACCACGTCTGGAATATGAACCAGGTTTTCAGTGACCTCTAATCCTTGCCTTCCAGACCACTTTTCCCCCCTTTTTTTTTGCACATTCCTAGCTTTGCTGACTTGGGAAAGTCTCTGCAGCTGATGCCTCACTGCTTGTTCAGAAGCTTTATCTGGTTCATCCCAGGACCTTGCCCACCTCTTACCTTTTGAAAGCTCATGTGATATTTCATTTTTTCAAGGTGTTTTTCCACCTGCCCTGTGGGAGGGATGTACCTGCTCTGTCCTGGAGCTGTGATTAGCTCGGTGAGACACGAGCTGAGAGCAGCTGCCTCACTCTGCTTCCCTCTAATTAACCAGAGGCCTTTTTTCTGCTTGATTAAGCCAGCAGGTTAATTATAAAGCTGAGGCCTGCTGCAGATGGCATTGGGCTGATATTGGTGTCTTTTGGTGCCTTTTCACCCCTGGCTGCTTCTTAGGGTGCATTTTTTGGGGGGTTCTTAATGCTCCACCGTGCTGTGAACAGCTCCATGAAGTGCTGCAGCCATTGTCCCTTCCCTTTGTTTACTCTTGATCCTTATAATGTGTCATTAATGGCCTCTGAAAATCTATTTTTCCCACATAATATCAGCAAGAACCTTCTGGGGGAGCCTTGTTTATGCTCTAGGTGCTACACGACGCTCCTTGAAGTCCCGGCGATATTCACGCAGAAAATTTCTTAAGTAAATGTAAATAATAGTTCCATCTGTGTTTAGCAGGGAGATTATTTTAAGCCATTTTGTTGTTTAAATATTTACATGCCATCTGGCTCTGGCAACTCAGCGGGTTTTTCCATAACGTGAGTGCACTTCTGAGGCTGCAGCATTACCAGAGAGATAAATTTCCCTTACATCTGAATCCTCCCTGCAACCACTTTTGGGCACGTGCCAGCCTCTGGAGCTGCCTGCCTGGCTTCCCATTTTTCCATTAGAACTCTGAGCCAAATAAAAAAAAATAAAATAAAAATAAAATAAAATGTCTTCTCTGATATTCTGCTTTTTGGTGGTCTGGTTTAGAAGGGGGTGACAGGTGTTATTCTCTATTTTATGCAAAGTGAAGTCCTGATTTTGTTGTTATTCTCAGAAGTACAATATTAGGAATAAATGTTAGGTGGCACCTGTTGTTTATTTTCAAGTCATCCTGCTGGTGGGTCTGGGTTTGTGCTGAGAACCCAAGCCAGGAGCTGAGTTTTCAGGAGTTTTAACATCTCACTGAACACTGGCTCAAGGGCAAGGGAGAGGACCATGCAAGCAACCTCCTACCATCAGCCCTGTCACTCCAGCACCTCCCTTAGCAGTGTGCAAAGAGTAAATTTAATAAGTTTTACCACTTGGAAATACTCACTGCTATGTGTGAAGTCAGCATTCACTTCTTTAGCTGATGTTTCCCCTCAGCAAATACACGAGCAGCTAATCTGCCCTCAGCATCGTGCTTCAGATGATAACTGAGAATAATCATCTTAGGTTTGCCCATCAAAATATTTCTTTAAGGCCTCTGAGGCTGCCTCAGAGAGCCCTTTCACGTGGCTCAGTTCAAAGCCCTGAGCCTGTGTTCAAGCATTTCACTTTGTGGTGTTTTTTGCTCCTCGCTGCAGCATCGCGTTGAGGGCAGAACATTTCTTTGGAGCTCCGACACTGTTTAAAATAAAGTTCCTGTGCCTCGCTCTTGTGCCATAGTAGGATTTGATTAAGATCTCATTGAAGTTCAGAGGTTTTTCTCTGAACTTCCTTCCAACACGTTTATGCTGGAACTGGTGCGGTTTCTGGTAGAGCAGCAGGATTTCTGTGCTCCTGCTTTCTCTCTTGCACACACATTTCCTCTCCCTCTGTCTTTGCTCTTTTCAGTTTTGCCTTTTGGAGCGGGCTCCTGGGTGACTTTAAGGCTTCTGTGATGTTTCCTTCCAGCTTTTGGCCTCCACCAGGAGGGATTACGAGAAGATCCAGGAGGAGCTGACCCGTCTCCAGATCGAGAACGAAGCGGCCAAGGATGAAGTGAAGGAGGTCCTCCAAGCCCTGGAAGAATTAGCTGTCAATTATGACCAGAAATCCCAGGAAGTGGAGGACAAAACGAGGACCAACGAGCAGCTGGCTGATGAGCTGGCACAGAAGAGTGTAAGAGCAAGTTGTTTCACCCCCCCCAACCCCAAATATTTCCACAGGGGTCCCCAAAACCCGTGCCGTGGTCCCTCAGCCAGCAATCAAGATCCACATTTGCTGATGCTGCTTGCCTCTCTTCTATCTTAATTAAACAGTAAAATTGAGCTAATTCAGAGGCTTCTCTGTGGAGGCTGGTGGCAGATTGTGGCTCTTGCAGCCCCTGTGTTTGGCACCCCGTGATGGCATCTGAACTGGATGTGAGACCCGGCCATCCTGTGTTTTGGGTGTTTAAAAACTCCCCTCGTGCCAAGAAGGCTGGGAAAATCTGCTTTGTGCAAATGGCAGCATTCTGGGTTTTTTCTGGACTCTGTGCCGTGGAGCAGGAATTCTGTACTGAGAGTCAGGGCCTCTCAAGGAAGGAATCAGAAAAAAAAAAAAATCAGCTGTTTTGACTGATCTTAAGGAAAAAAATTGGTGGGAAGTCAAGATTGGTTTATTAGCTTAATGCATCCTTTTCCCTTAATTCATTACACAAAGTGAGGAAGCTCTTTTTAACAGATACATTTCATTAAAGACTTTGTTATCTCCTTCAGTAAAACAGATTAGTATGAAATCCATTCGAAAAAATTGAATTTTATATCCTTCTGTACCTATTTCTCGGTGATTAACCTTCTTTGATGTATTATGCAAATAAGATTCTTACAGGATTTGCTGCATTTAATAGATCTAAAGTAGCCTTGGTAGCAAGTGAGTTGTGAAAGTGGATTATGTCAAGGTGGAAGGGGACGTGTCAGCACATTCTGCCATGGGCATGTTCAGGAAAATACAAGACAATACCATGTAACCCCATGGAAGAATTGGTGCCCAGCCCATGGAGGGGAGGGTAATTCTTGTTTTTAAACCTTCTCAGAGCGCCCTGACAGCGACCCAGAGGGAGCTGGGCCAGTTGCAGGAGCTCAGTAACCACCAGAAGAAGAGGGCGACAGAAATCCTGAACCTGCTGCTGAAGGACCTGGGGGAGATCGGGGGAATCATCGGCACCAACGACGTGAAAACAGTGAGCTGGTTTTGCTGCTTGTCCCCCACACCTCCTGCAGTGTAAAAACACTCCAGCTAACCATGGAATCACAGGGTGGGTTGGGTTGGGAAGGGACCTTAATGATCATCTTGTTCCATGGGCAGGGGCACCTTCCACCAGCCCAGGGTGCTCCAAGCCCTTTCCAACCTGGCCTGGGACACTTCCAGGGATCCAGGGGCAGCCACAGCTTCTCTGCCCAACCTGTGCCAGGGCCTGCCCACCCTCCCAGCCAGCAATTCCTTCCCAATCTCCCATCTCTCCCTGCCCTCTGGCAGTGGGAAGCCATTCCCTGTGTCCTGTCCCTCCATGCCTTGTCCCCAGTCCCTCTCCAGCTCTCCTGGAGCCCCTTTAGGCCCTGCAAGGGGCTCTCAGGTGTCCCTGGAGCCTTCTCTTCTCCAGGTGAACCCCCCACCACCCACCCAGGGTGGTGCAAATTTTGGGCAGCTCTGCTTTGGGACTGGCCCGTGCCTCTTGGGTTTCAGGATGTGGTACAGGAGGTGGCTGCTCACTTTGTCACACTCCTGTGGGAGATGAACAAAATTCCAGGTGCCAGGGGAGATGTTTCTATGCTCAGTGCTAAATGGCAATGATGGATTTTTCCCTGGTGATTATTAACCACCTTACCTGTCCATTTAAAACCACGTGAAAACCAGCAGTGGTTAAAACTTCCCAAGAAATCCATTTTAAAGATGTATGAGAATTCCTTGCAATACACTCAGTTTTCTTGCTTTTAGTTCACTTCTTGTTGTTGTCCTGCTCAAGGCCCCTCTGTTTAGCAGGATGCTCCAGCCTGCTCCTGCTGCAGAGGACACGATCCCTGCTGTCCATGAGGGGCTGCAGATGCCAGGAGCAGGAGCCCAGCCTTTGGCAGATGTCACAGCAGCCTCTGGTGGCCACTGTGACAGGGACAGCGAGAGAAAACCTTTGGAAATGGAGGCAGAGGCAGCTTGATACGGATTTTTATATAACTAAGATGTCAGCGTTTTTGAGGACAGCTGTCAGTGTAAATAAGGCCAGATTGAGAAGTGTTTGGAAGAATAATCTCAAATTTGTTGGCAATTAGCATCTTCTCCAAGTGTGTCTAATTTCAGGCCAGACTGAGAGTTTTGGAAGCAGTGTCGTTTTTTTAGGCTTTTTGGGAGGCAGCAAATGTTCCCTTCCCCTTGGCAGTGCTGGGGAAAGGTGAGAAGCAGATGAAGTTTATCCCTGTGCTCGCTCAGGGAGAGCCTGCCCAGCCAATCTGTGGCTACAGGAATTCAGCAGCTGAAGAAGAATCATGAAGAGAAAGAGACAACATGTTAAGCCAGGGAAGGAAATGATGTATAAATAGAATTACACTAATATTTAGAGATGAGAGCCATTAGTTTTCTCTTGCCAGGTGATTTCCAGGCCCAGGTGTGTTTTACAGCTCCTCATGAAAGAAGCACAACCCCTCGAGAGGGCACTCCTTGTAGGAGTACTTTGAAAATGCTCTTCAGCTTTTTGGAATTGTGAAAGAAAGAAAAATTTCCCCCTGCTGGTGACATGAGAACGTTTCTCCAGAATACACTCTTGCCGTGATGGTGGACTTGGTTATTGTAGATGTTGAACCACTGGACTCATAGAATCAGGGAATATCCTGAGTTGGGACCCACAAGGACCATCCAGTCCGAGCCCCTGGTCCTGCACAGACACCCCAGCAATCCCACCCTGTGCCCCAGAGGATCATCCCAACCCTCCTGGAGCTCTGGCAGCCTTGGGGCTGTGCCCACTGCCCTGGGGAGCCTGTTCAGTGCCAACCACCCTCTGGGGGAAGAACCTTTCCCTGAGATCCACCCTAATACCTGTCAAACTACACGATACACTCACACACATATATATAAAACATACAAATCAAAGCAAGAACTTCAAAAATCCCGACAGAAGATGTCTATTAACACAATAAGTGATCTTTGCTTTGCAGAAACATCCCAGTTTTGATTTTGTGTCCTCATTTGGGGCGTGCCTGTGAGCTGTAAGTTCTCTGAAATCCCCACATAATAATTAATATCCCTCTCCAGAGCCTCTTTCTAAACTGATCTGTGGGCTGTAAAACTGCCCCAAAGCCGAGACCGAGCCTCTGCCCCCTCCCTAGAGCAGCACAACCCAACTCTCCGTGTGCTCAGTTGGCAGATGTGAACGGGGTGATCGAGGAGGAGTTCACCATGGCCCGGCTCTACATCAGCAAGATGAAATCCGAGGTGAAGTCGCTGGTGAACCGCAGCAAGCAGCTGGAGAGCGCCCAGATGGACTCCAACAGGAAGATGAACGCCAGCGAGAGGGAGCTCGCCGCCTGCCAGCTCCTCATCTCGCAGGTAGGTCTGTCCCTCCCTTCTCCCAAGGCTTGTTCCTCCCTTCTCCCGAGCTCTGACGACTCTTCCCAACCTCTTGCCTCGTGGAATGTGTGTGCTCAGAGCAAGGAATGAGCCTTCAGGGAGCAGGGGGGTGTTTCTCGGGTCTGTTGTGCTGGGTTTTCTCTCCCTTCTCCCGTTCCTCCCCCTCAGTGTTTTCCAGCACATTCTGTGGCGAGATCGTGTCCTGCTGTCCTGAAGTTGTGTTTTATGGAATAATACTGAAAAGGCCACGTTCCTCCCCCTGAATTTGTGTGGGATTTCCATGCCCATTTATATGGGATTTCCTCACCCCGAATTTGTATGGGATTTCTACACCCGTTCTTATGGGATTTCCTCGCCCTGAATTTGTGTCTTGGATCACTTTAAAAGCAGCCTGAGAGAAGAAGCAGTGACCATATTGTTCACCAACCAAACCTTTGGAGAGCTCCTCATACCTGCTTTCTTGATATGGTGCCAAGATAACAAGGCAGCAATGTATAAAATAAGATGTTGTGGAAAACTTTATAGGATGGTGTAGGGGGTTGGCCCTGGCTGGATGTCAGAAACCCACCAAAGCTGTTCTATCACTGCCCTCCAAAACTGGCCAGGAGAGACAAAATCTAATGAAGGTTCATTAGATAAGGACCCAGATCCCTCACCAAATACTTCACGGGCCAAACAGACTCATCCTGGGGATATTAACTGAATTTATTGCCAACAAAATCAGAGCGGGATAATGAGAAGTAAAATAAATATAATAAGATCCTTCCCCCAATCTTCCATCCTTCCCAAGCTCTATCTCCTCCCCTACAGCGGTGCAGGGAGATGGGAATGGGGGTCACAGTCAGTTCATCCCAGGTTGTTCCTGCTGATGCTCAGGGATGGGAGCTGGAATCCTCCCCTTGCTGGGGGTGTCTCCCATGGGAGACAGTTCTGAATGAACTCCAGAGTGAGTCCATCCCATGGCAGACAGTTCTGAATGAACTCCAGAGTGAGTCCATCCCATGGCAGACAGTTCTGAATGAACTCCAGAGTGAGTCCATCCCATGACAGACAGTTCTGCATCAACTCCACTGTGAGTCCATCCCATGGCAGACAGTTCTGAATGAACTCCAGAGTGAGTCCATCCCATGGCAGACAGTTCTGAATGAACTCCAGAGTGAGTCCATCCCATGGCAGACAGTTCTGAATGAACTCCAGAGTGAGTCCATCCCATGGCAGACAGTTCTACAAGAACTGCTCCACCCTGGGTTGTTTTCCACGGGGTCCATCCTTCAGGCACAGGTCCAAGGTGGATCCCACACAGGGGGAGGACTCAAGTCCTTCCTCCTTGCCGTGGGACAGTGCCTGAATTCCGAGGAACAGGCCATGCTGCTCCCATCTCACTGCTGTTCTCCTTGTCTCCAAAGCACGAAGCGAAGATCAAGTCCCTCACAGACTACATGCAGAACATGGAGCAGAAGAGGAGGCAGCTGGAGGAGTCCCAGGACTCTCTCAACGAGGAGCTGGCCAAGCTGCGTGCTCAAGGTACGGCTCTGGGCCTTGGGGCTGTGATTTCTTCTATCAGCTGTGCCCTGGAAAATTCAGTGTTGTGTTTTAATGATGTGAGAAATTAAAAAAAAAAAAAACAAACACACATAAATGTTGTAGGCCAACAGCACCAAGCAGTCTTGCTAAATATCCTGTAAAATTATTAGATATCTGCCTAATTTCAGTTGTCCCTCTGGCAAACTCCATTCCAAAGGAAGCTGCTTCCCTTAGGGGGGGCAAAAGGTGTGTCCTTCCCAGCTCCTGTGTAGGATCCAGAGGACTCCATTTTAAGGGTTGCTTGTTTTTCCCCTTCTCATTTAGAGTGGAAAACGTGTATCTATCAAAAGCAGTTCTTTGCTGAGCTACTGTTTTATGTAAAACTTCATCGCTCAGGATTTCTGCACAGGGGATTTTCTCTGACTGAGGGAGCAGCAGGTGGTGACAAGGCTTGCTTTTTCTTGTTAGAACAGAATTTTTATTCTGTTTCCTGATTTTCCTACCCCACTGATAAGAAATGACCTGCTCCTAGAGGCACCTTTCCCCCAGTGAGAGCAGAACTGGGAGAAGTGGGATTACAGACAGGCAGGGACAGGTTGGGAAGTGGCTGGACACAGCATGGCTTGCAGTGGTGTGGTTAATTCTCAACTGCCTCCACCTCCAAACAGAAAAAATGCATGAAGTCAGCTTCAAGGACAAGGAGAAGGAGCATCTGACCCGGCTTCAGGATGCAGAGGAGATGAAGGTAGTTTGGCACTGCAATTTTAGAGGGTACTGCTCATTGAGATCCTTCAGTCAGCCGATGATTGGGGTGTAATTTTGCCTTCCTGTATTAAAAATTGTATTGATTCACCTCTAAGTTGCACTCATTTTCCACTGGTGGGACTGTGCTGGAAGTCAATTTGCTCAGGAGCGAGTCAGGATACTGGGGGTAATGTAATTTAGGTACTAAGAAATTTGATTTACAAAGAGACCACTTTCCCAAAGTTTGGCAAGAATTCTGACTGTCCCCTGGAAATAATAATAATAAAATATAAACCTGTTTTCTGGTATTTTTCCTTTGGAATGCAAAGAAATGTCAACAATGAGTGGTTTAATGGGATTGCAAGTCTCAGACAAGGAAAAAGAGACTTTTTAGAGGTTTGTCATCTGCTGAACTTTTCCCTCCATTATAGAAATTTAAAGGGATTAAAGCAGTTGTACAGTTGTTCCTTACAGCAGGAAGAGAAAAAGCAAATCTTTTATTAGCAATTTAAAGAGATGCACTGGGTTTTTCTTACTAACCTTAGAATTTAAATTTAAAGAAAGATACACCAGGCAGATTCTCAAATTAACTTGCTCTGATAATTTTCCCTCAAACCTTGAGGAACAGGTCGATTTAGGGGGCAGGTGAGAGGGAAGCTCAGCTGGGTGTGCCTGGATTTGTGTTTCATGCCCGGCTCTGGTGTTTGCAGAAGGCCCTGGAGCAGCAGATGGAGAGTCACAGGGAAGCCCACCAGAAGCAGCTGTCCAGGCTGAGGGATGAAATCGAGGAGAAGCAGAAAATAATCGATGAAATCAGAGAGTATGTTCACTCACCCCATCACCTTCTCTGCTCTGGGACGCTGCAGGGATGCTTTAGGGTTGCTTTTGTTGGGTTTTATGGATTTTTATATGGAATATTCTGTCCTTTATATGTTTGTTCTGTCCTTGCATGCAACAGCCAACCCTGTAATTATTTTACAGCCCCTACTTCTTTAGGGGGGAGTTTTAAGTCCATAAAATCATAGAGAGGAAAAAGAAAGAGCCACGTTGCACCTGCAGGTCAGTAGGTAAGAGGAGCTTGGAGGAGATCACATTTCAAAAGATCACAGAATCATTTAGGTTGGAAAATAACCTTTAAGGTGGTCAGGTCCAAGCATTACCAAGGCCCCCACTGACCACGTCCCCAGAAAGGGTTTTTTTGGGGTTCTCTTACAGCAACTGCTCCTGTCACAGACTTTCTGAGGGGCTCAAATTCTCCCATTTTCACACCCTGAATATTCCCTCCTGACACACCAATATATCTGTTAGTCCAGCACTTGGACAATGGAGTGTTTTGCTCCTGTATTCTTCTTTTTCCAAAATCCAGGCAATCCTGGTGTAATATTCGTTATTTCACCATGTTTATTGTGTGGCCAAGGAATTAGTCATGGGGAAAGGGAGAACCATGAGGAAGCAGGACAGAAAGAACAGGTTGTGTCCTTTGAGGTAAAGGAAACAACCCACTGAATTTAGTTCTCCAGTATTTTAAAATATTGTCCTTCACGTTCTTTATGCTTCATTTCTTTCAGAATTTTTTCAGTAGAGAGTTACAGCTTTTCTTTCTCTGTCCAGCCCCACTTTGTTCATGGGGATTTACCCATTTTCTGGGGTTCAGGCCTGAGCTGTACTGACTTTTCCTCTCTCATTCCAGTATGAACCAGAAGCTGCAGCTGGAACAAGAGAAACTCAGTGCTGATTATGATAAATTAAAAATTGAGGACCAGGAAAGAGAAATGAAACTGGAAAAGCTCATGTAAGTCAAGAGTTTTCTCATCTGGTGTCCTTCAGTCTCTCAATACAATCACAGGAAATGTGCCAGTGAGAGGCATTTGTATTGCAATATTCCACATTGAAAATATCAACATGCAACATTAATAAATGATTACCAATTACTCCATATTTTTATATCAAAGGCTTTTTATTAGTGGTTTTGATGCTTGCCAAAAAAGGTTTTATTAGAGCCCTGATTTTATAAAATACCACAGCAAGTGTTAAATCTCTCATTCCTTAATGCACAGCAAAAACAAAGAAGAAAAAAATCGGGGAATTCAGGTGGGGATTTAATGACTTTTTCTTTTGCTTTGATTTTTTTTTTTTTTAAGCAATAACTCAGCTCTCTGAGTAAAAGCCTTTCCTGGAAATGAGAGAGAAAAATTTCATGTGTGGACATAAAAGATGTGGGTGGTGACTCAGCCCTTGCATGTGAGAAAGCTGCACATTTGGGGCAGTCAAAAGCATAATTACAGCTGCAGGGATGTACAGTTTGCTCACACTCTGCAGATGTGCTACTCCAGCTGAATGCTGCTTGATTCTCTTCTGTTCAATGTGACTTCAGCATCTCTGATTTGTGCTCAATGCTGTGATCTCTCTAGACTGCTTAATGATAAAAGGGAACAAGCAAGAGAAGACCTCAAGGGGCTGGAGGAAACAGTGGTAGGTCTTAATTACACCTTATTGAGCTTTTCCCCCCACATCTGTGTGCCCAGATGATACATATTTTGGTTTTTGGAGAAACACTTTTTAACTATTCAAAATAAAATTCTAAAAGGTTGCTCTTCTTCTCTTCAGTCTGGCTTTGGGGCTGGATTGGGGTTGGGATGAGCTGCCCTTTCCTGCTCATGGGTTGGTGCTTCCCTCCTCCTGGGGGTGTGGGTGCAGAGTGGCCACTTCTGGTGCCACACCTCCAGTCTGGGGGAAGGTGGTAATTTTGCTGAACCTGAGAAGTTGATGCATAATTAAATAAATAAAAAAAAAAAGGCTGGGAAAACCTGGATTTTGGCCAAAATTTTAAAAGCACTTAAACTTCTGAAGTGGCTATGAATAATATGTTGGCTGAAGGGAGAACCCAGAGCTCTCTCCCCTGCTATCAACTCAAATCCACGGAGAAATTTTACACCACAGTATCTACTATACCTTACTGTTTGTTTTTTTATTTTTATTTTTTTAATGGTTATTTTATTGTTTTTATTGCAGGCAAGAGAACTTCAGACTCTTCACAATCTGCGCAAGCTGTTTGTCCAAGATCTTACCACCCGCGTTAAAAAAGTGAGGCTCTGCTCCTTTTGAACCCAAATCTTACCTTTTTATTATTATTATTATTATTTTTGCAGTATTCTTGTGATCTGCTGGAAGCCTTTAGTGCGTGTTGTCACCAAAGGGGATATTGTCTTTTTTAACAACAGAGAGAAACGAGATTAAAACTGTTCTGCTGTTCATGAGCTTTTATTTGGTCATCATTTGTCGAGGGCAAGTCTTGGTTAAACAAATGAATCAATCCCATTGAGTTCAATTAAAAAAACATCTCAAAGATGGTATTAATGGGCATCAGAAATTATTCAATATAACTCAATTTTCCTATTGAGGATCCCCCCATAACTGTTCAGTGACAACAGTTCATTTTTTATGTGGCGGGCAACGTGGTTGTTAAATATCAAGTGAACAGGCTAAATAATTTAATCTGGGGGTATGGAAGACTTTCCTGCCTTTGGGAAGCTTAAATTTCCCAAGGAGCTGAGCTTGCTCTGGAGTTTCTGCCTGGCTTTGCTGAGTGCTGAACTCTCTGTGCAGAGTGTTGAACTCGACAGCGACGATGGAGGTGGGAGCGCTGCGCAGAAGCAGAAAATTTCCTTTCTTGAGAACAACCTGGAACAGCTTACGAAGGTTCACAAACAGGTAGGGGCTCCCCTTCCTCTCCCCTCCTTCCCTGCTTCCCTTCTTCCCTCCCTCCAACGAAAAACACACTTTTTTAATGTTTACAAGGATAATTTTAGCAGGTGCCCTGTGCTGTCTGAGGAAAAGGTACCCACGGGTTTTAACTCCAACTCCTTGGTATCAAGAGCTGGTGTGAAGCTGCTCGTCCCACTACCTGTATTTCTACGTGTGAAATAAGCATTTTTTCTGTGAAAATAGCTGGGTTTTGGCACTAAGAAATGCACAAAAATAGCTGGGTTTTTTGTGCATCCCAAACTTTGACTCCTGGCCTAAAGCTGCTCAGGGGCCACCTCGGAGTTGACTCGAGTGGGTTCAACCAGCACAGCATGAAAGCAAAGAAATGGAGGTTTTATGGGCAGCTCAAGGGCTGGTGCCTCACCTGTGGGCATTCCATCCATCCTTCATGGAATTCCCATTTCACAGAACCCCAGAGTGGTTTGGTTTGGAAGGCAGTGCACTTTTCTGAAACTGTATTAGTGAGACACGCTCCGAAATTTGCTTTATTTATTCCTTTGGAAGTGCCAAGAGACCAAGTGGTGCTGGACCACGACAAGGGACCACTAAGACTCGGTACTTTGAGATTCCCAGGGAACAGATGGTTTAAAGACCTACTTTCTAAATGTGGAAATCGGGACATGTTGGAGGAGTGTCTCTTTTTTTTTTTTGCCATTTTGCCTCTTTCTGTACTCAAATCACGCCTCTGCTGCATTTCAAATCCGTATTTTTGTAGCTCTCATTAGTGTGTATTTACTCAAAACCAGCTTGGAATCCACAGCTTGTAAGAAACTTAGAGGGAATGGCACATTGTGACAAGTTTTTTCGGCTTGTTTGTGTTTTATCTCAGCACCAAGCCTGGCCCAGCAGGTGTAAAACGTTTCCATTGTCAAACAACGTGTGAATGTCAGTCCGTGCTGGTGCTTTATGATATTATTAATGTGGTGGTTAAAACAATTTTCACTCCAGAAAAGGGAGGATCCCTCCTCTGGAACGGATTGCTGCTGACTTCTAGCAGTGGTTTAATCTGTTCAGCAGAAATTGTGCTGGATTTTCTGACTGTTTGTGTTTATTAAAAGTCAATCCTCTCTCCTGGCTGGTGGGGCATAGAAAGTCAGATGTTATTTAGATAATTGATAGGCCTCGCTCAGGTTCATATTAAATTGAAGTGCACGAATTCAGAATTGCATATAATCACCATATTTATAGCTGCAGAACCTAAAAGTGATTCCTTAGTGAAGTTTCCAATTTTCCCTCATGCTTGGGGAGGGGACACACAGGTGAACCATGTCAGAACCATTTGAGGTGATGAAATTTGGACGATCCCCAATGCTGTCTGTAAGACATGTTGAAGCATTACTATTTTGAAATCACGAGGTGATCAGTTATTTTCAAAATCCTGGCTATTTCTGCATTCAGGACCCAGCTCTGTGAAATTTTGTTGAATGGAATAAACAGTGGAATAAACTCCCTTGTTCTTTGACCTTTCTGGAAGATTTAAATGAGTATCACAACCTCAACCAGACAAATGAGCTGTGTGATTAAAAGTATGAAGTGTGGACAACTCTCTCAGGGTTATGGTGGGATTGTTGGGGTTGTCCTGTGCAGGGCCAGGAGATGGAATTGATGATCCTTGTGGTTCAAGGATACTCAGAGTATTCCATGATTCTAAATTGCTCTTTGAAAAAAGAATATTTAAATGAATCTCAGACCTCAGCCAGACAAATGAACCGCAGGATTAAAACTACAAAGTTTAGACAACTCTCTCAGGGAGGCACAGTGGATTGTTGGGCTGTCCTGTGCAGGAGATGGAATTGATGATCCTCGTGTGTCTGTTCCAGCTCAGGATATTCCAGTGATTCTAAACTTATCTTTGAAAAGAGAATATTTAAATGAATCTCACACCTCAGCCAGACCAATGAACTGGGTGATTAAAACTACGAGGTGTGGACAACTCCCTCGAGGACGGGGTGGGATTGCTGGGGCTCTCCTGTGCAGGAATTGATGATCCTTGTGGGCGTGACATTTCCTCAATTCTAAATTTCACTTGGACATCAGCTTTTCCCAGTCATTTCCTGGGAGAAACCCGATTTATTCCCAGTCCACGAGGCGCGCGGGGGAAGCAGCGGCGCCCTCAGCCTCTCGGTGCCGGAGAACCCCCTTCCCCCTGGTGTTTACCGGGCCGTTCTGGACGTTCCCTCCCTGCAGCTGGTTCGTGATAATGCAGATCTTCGTTGCGAGCTTCCTAAGCTGGAGAAACGCCTTCGAGCTACGGCAGAGAGAGTCAAGGCCCTGGAGAGTGCACTGAAGGAGGCCAAGGAGAACGCCATGAGGGACCGCAAGCGCTACCAGCAGGAGGTGGATCGCATCAAGGAGGCCGTCAGAGCCAAAAACATGGCCAGGAGAGCCCACTCTGCCCAGATTGGTAAGGCCACGGAGCCGAAGGGTCGCCCACGTTGCTCGTGGGGGGTGATTTTTGGCTCGGGTTTGGGAGGAGCTTTGAGAGCGGCGGGCGAAACGCGGGGGCTGCTTCTCCTCCGCTGCGCTGGCGTCTTCAGAGGCCTCGCTTTTTTAATAGAACCTGCCCCACCTAAAGTTTAAAGAGCCTCTGCTGTTTAACTCGGTAAATAAGCGGCATAATGGGGCTTGTGTGCCCTTCTAGTGACCTGAGAACTTGTCTCCTTAAATTAGTCGCTCACTTTCTTCCTCCTCCCCCCCACACTCTCTCTTTCTGCTTTCATTGTTTCCTTGCCTTTCTGGACCTTGTCCCTTGCTCTTTCTTTCCCTTGATTACTCCTGCTTGTGATTTAATTTGGGGCTGTGCAGAGTCAAAAATTCTTCCTGTGTAATTCAGATACTTGATGTGTCTCTGTGACACAATGTGGGCCTTTCTGGACCTTGTCCCTTTCTCTTTTTTTTTTGGTTTTTCTTCCTGATTACTCCTCCTTGTGATTTAATTTGTGCAGAGTCAAAAACTCTTCCTGTGTGATTCAGATACTTGAGGTATCTGTGGCACAATGAGTTCACAAAACCACAGGGTGGTTGAGGTGGGGCAGTTTTGGAAATGATTCGTTGGGATTGCTGAAGCAGGAGGGTAACGATCTGGGGGGGTGATGCAAATACTGGTGTTTTAAAACCTAAGAGAGAATGAGGCAGCCATCGACAGCTGTGTGGGCAGCATCGACAGCTTTGTCTTGGCACCTTCTGGGTGTTGGGGAACAGTGGGTTTCGTACCAGAGGAGAAGGTGAGGTGGAAAACCTCATGTGAGAGCTGAATGTGTTGTTTGGTTCCCTCTTTTTCCCGTGCAGCCAAGCCCATCCGCCCTGGCCATTATCCAGCGTCTTCTCCGACGGCCGTCCACGCCATCCGAGGGGGAGGGATGTCCAACTCCAGCTACTACCACAACACCAAATAGGCAAGAAGTAAGACCAAAATTGTTCTACCCACCTCCCCTACAGTTCAGACTTGCTTTCAGCAGACACACTGTGTATTTTTCCATTTTTAGTAGGAGTCGTTTGCTGATAATTACAAAAATGACTAATTGAGTGCTTGTTAGAAAGCTCTGCAAGCTGCTGAGGTTTGATTTTACTGCCTTATCACTTAAGACTTCTGTAATAAACTATAGTCTAGTAAACCTGTTCTGAAATTCCCACTTAGAGGCGTGAAACTCCTGTAGTAAAAACAGAGTTCCAGAGGTTCCTTCAGCCAATATAATTTGCTGCTTTCTGTACCCTGAATGTATTTCCATGTTGGGATATTCCGGCCTGGGACAGGGGTAGAGCAGCACAAATTTGAGTGGCACAATTTGGGAAACGTTACTTTTGTTTCTTTTGCTTTGCACTCTTACTCAGGTCTCTTTAGAACAGAAAATAATTGAATATTTTACTTTCATTGCAAAGGCTTGAGGGTTTCTCCTGAGCAAAGAATCTCTGGGAAGATGAGCAGGATATTCCCAGGAGACTGTTTCACGGACTCTAACCTCCCCTTTCCTTCTTTAAATGCTGGTGATCTGAGGGATTTTATGCCTGTACTATTTTAGGTGATCACTTTATGTCACAGACATGCCAAGAGCTGGATGGTAGTGAGTGGCAGCGAAAAGCACCCAGGGCACTGCTAATTTGTCCCTCCAAGTCTGGCTTTTCCCCCCACCCCCTCCTTGAGGATTAATTCTGTCTCCTGACTCTGCTCTTTGGTTTCCTGTGCTTTTCCCTTCATTTTGGGAATGTCTCCTGTCAGGCCTGCATGCCAAGCACCCATCAGGGCACACTCAGGCTCTCTTTGTGCCGTGGGATTGTTCCTGCTCGTTGTGTTTTCCCTGGAGCTTCGAGCAACTTATTTTCTCTGTGGGTAAATTAGGGCAAGGCTTTGCTGAGGGGTTTTGTGCATTAGTTCAGTCTGAACTGAAATTGGCTTTTCCAGCTCACAAGTAAGGGGCCTGTGTCCATCTGCTCCGTTGCATTCCCACCTCTGGGACTGAGGAGATATTAACATATTAGTAAAACATTTCTAAACTTTCATTGTAACAGCTACTCTGGGGGAGAAAAAAGCTGCTATTTGCCTGAATTAAATGCACTTTTAATATACCAACTTCTGAGGAATTAAGTCAGACTCAAACAGGCCACACGTTAGGTACAGGCACATGTCAAGTGAACGACCTGATTAGATTAATAAGAGCCATTAATAAAATTAAAACTGAATGGGTTTATAAGAAGATAGGACCGTGGAAATCAATAAAGAGCAATCAGAAGGCACAGATAACTGTCAGATATTTTAGATGCTGAGGGTGGCACAGGAGGAGCAGATTCAGGCCACGCTTGGAACGTGTCGCAGAGGAGCTCATGGAAAGTGAGGGTGGAGAAAAAGAAGAGGGGAGAAATCAGAAAAAAAAATTTGATAAAGCTATGGATTTATGGTTTCTGAATAAAATCAGAACAATTCTGAAAAGCAAACTGGAGCCCTACAGGCTGGAATGAACTAATTTAAACAGTGTGCTGTAGATCTTTTGCTCACATCTAGAAGTAAGTCTGGAAGATGTAGTGAGGCAAGGCCAGGCAGTGATGGAAGAAAGTCAGTTCTTATCAGTTTTGGTCCTTTGGGTTAGGAGATTATTGGCAAATTGCAACTATTTCACTGCCAACATTGGTAGTATCAGAGTAAACTGATATTTTGAGCTGTTTGGATGAAAACCCAGGGGTCTGAGTAAGAGTGTTGGTAAAGGTACCACTTGTGCAGGGAAAACTTTATCCAGGTAATTTCCAGAATATTGTTGAGACATTCCTTTTGAATGGTGCAGTTCCACACAGCTGGAATTAGACCTGAACTTGCTTTTATACTCATTTAACAGCAGTGAAATAAAGGTGGGATTTTCGTACCAACATCAGCTGTCAAACCATCCCTGCTTCTGGAATGAAAACTTTATACCAGGATGAGGAGAGATTTATCTTGCATTCATTCATTATTCACCACAAAGATAACAGACATTTAGTGCTGTTGGAATGATCAGTGGTTCTGATGGATTAACCCAGCAGCCAGATGGAAGAGAAAGAAACGTGGCGTTGATAAAACGTGCTCCTGGAATTGCACGTTGCTGGTCAGGGAATTCCTCACTCTGTCTGCATTGTAGATGGTTTTGGAAATACAAGTGCAGTGATTTTGTTACTTTTAAATTTATTCTTCTGCCTAAATTAAAAAAAAAAAAAATTATTTTTGTGAAGGGATGTGTTTTGACAACACTTTAAAGAGCAATACTCAGTGGCTGTATGTTAATTTTCTGCTGGTCTGCAGTGTCATTGGATATTGTCAAATTTAAAGCTCTAGATGGGGATAGTTGCTAAATATAACTCAATATCTACTCTACAAAGTGTAGATTTCCAGGAATTTAAGTTTTCTCAAATAATGCCTGGAATTTTAGAAAGCAAAAGTTGTGGTGTACAGTTTTTGTTTTGACTCCTTTTCATGCTACCCCACAAAGTTTAGGCCAGAAACTGCACAGAATTATCAAATTCACTGTAAAAGCTGAGTTTATATGGGTTTTTTTTTCTAAATCTTTAAAGAAAAACGTAGTTAATAATCAGTTTTAGAACTGGAAATAAGCATAAAGGTGGTGTCTGGACAAACCTGAGTGTCCCTTGCAGTGTCTGGTTAGTGACTGCCAGGCTGAAGTGGATAATGGGGCAAATCTTTGTTGAATTTTCATGCTTAAATACGTGGCCAGATCACTGTAAATAGGAATCAGCTCATTTTCAAATTTTGCCTTGAAATTCAAGAAGAATAAATATATTTAATCCAGCCAGACCATCGTTAGTGCAGCCAATAAGATGCATTAATTAATAACCATCTGGTTTCCTGTAGGGTGTTAATAACTACAACTCCCTACACTAATTTAGGGTAAATTTAAAAACACTGATGCACCAATATTTATCTATTTATTTTTATAACTTGATCTTGAATTTGGACAAGGTTTTTTGTTTTTTGGTTTTTTTTTTTGTTTGTTTTTTTTTTTTAAATAACTGTACAAGAAAATGATTCCTTGAGGATCCTTCTAAGGCTGGTTTTGTATCAGTGTATTCAAAAACATCTCAGGCACATTCAGTTCCTTACGTGGTGCTTTCCATATGAAAAGTGTGTGGGGAAAAAACAATTCAAACCCAAGAGCTTTTAAAAGAATGTCTGTCAAATGTTTTATAATCAACTTCATTATCTGTAACTTTTATAAAGGTGAACCGAGCAACCTTTGCACTTGGTCACGTGCCTTGGACTTCTGCTCCTGGATGGAATTATTATAAATCAGTGAGAAAGATGCCTGTGTAATGTGCATATGTAAAATTATATAGCATAGTGTTATAATATTAGATTTGATATTATGTATAAAATACTTTATACATGTTTATAAACACATATATTTATTTATAAAGGTGTGCACATATATATATATCAGGAAAGGCTCTCTGTCAGCAGACAGGGAACAGAAGTATTTATATTTTTCATGCCTTTGTTTTATAATTTTCAAGCACAGCTGCTATTGGTACATAAGGTAAGCACAGATCTGCTCTCGAGCACATCCAGTGGAGAGAAAAATCCCATTAAAGGAACAGAACGATTACAGGGAAGAAAAAGGAAAGTTAGGCCTTTGGAGTGTTTAGGCAAGATACAATGCTGGGTTATAGGTGGTACAGAATTAGTGTAAATCAAGGGAATTGGCACATTGTGACAAATTGCTCATTCCACGGGTTGTCACCACGTGCTTTCCGTGGCTCCGTTCGTCGCTGTCGTTGAGGCTCTTGGGTTGCTGGACGTCTTGTTCAGGGTGATCTCCTTTCCAACCCCAAAACCTCACTGATTTTCCTTGCTTTCTGCTCTCTTTCTGGCAGGTCAGTTCCACTTAAGCATGTTAAGGACTGTCATTAAGTCACTAGTTTTCTTTTCTGCCCCTCCTCGAGCCGACCCACATCCCGTTCATCCTGCGCTTCCTCCGGCCATCGGCAACGCCCCGGTCCCAGGCATCCCGAGCTTCGCAGGACCTCCACGTGTACAGAAGTGTCCAGATCCTTCTGCAATGTATTGGACATTCCCATCTCAGCAAGGATAGGGAGTCTGCCACTCCGAGCCCACCCTGGCGCTGGTTAGGTTGGCGCTTCTACACTCAGAGCGATGCTTTTTTTTTTTCCCGAGTCCTCCGTTGCGTCGGTAAATCCCGACTTCCGGCATCAACGAATTAATTATTCACTGACCAAGTGCCACCAAAGGCAGGTGATTGTGCTCTGTCATGACTGATTTACTGTATAATATACATATTATTTTATATTTTTAGGGGATGAAAATGTGCTGCTATGTGGTTTCATTTTACTGCTTACATTTTCAGAAGGAAATTTCCCCAAAGAACCATTTGTAAAATCCTGAGAGAAAGGAAAAAAAACCACAAAGCAAAAAAACAAAAATAAATCTTTGGACTGTGTAAAATAACCTTTATTGCAGTACCTGGTAAAGATCAAACGGGATGCAGAGAAATCTGTTAGTATAGAGCTAGGATTTGAAGTTTGGTAGTTCCATGAGTATTACCTTGTGTGACCTATTTTAAAATTAAGATTTAAGATCCGAGCTGCTGCTTGTAGTTCTCCCTACGGCGGTGGGTTTTCCTGGAGCGTGTTCGTGAGCGTTGTCCCCTAGGAAGTTTTGAAGGCTTTCAGAATGCTGTGGAATTCTTGTCTTGGAAAACCTGACAAGCGTTCCCCCCTCTCTCCTCCTCCTCCTCCTCCTTCCCCCTTTCCCACATGCCTTTGGCAAGCCCTGATCTGTTCACGCCGGAATAATCCCCTCCAAGTCCCAGATACTCCCTTCAGAAAAATCAGAGAGTCCAAAAGGAGGTGAGAGTCGTACACTCGAGCTGTCCTTTGCAGGCCAAATCTGGGAATGCGTTTGCTGGGATGTGAGGAGCACATTCCAAGGGGAACAGAACGCTTTTGTAAGTCACTGTATGCAAATCATCCTAGGGATGGTCCACTCGTGAGGACAAGGACGAGCCTTTCCTGGATCTCTCTTCCCAGCCAGACAGCAAATTCCCATCTTCCCAGCAAGGGGGCACTGGAATCGCTCTGGGAAGGTGCTGCTCCTCCTCCTCCTCCTCCTCCTCCTCCCTGCCCACACATTCCTGCCGGGGAGTGACAGGGTCGGGCTTAGGGAAGCTGGGATTCCAGGAAGGTTAGGCCGAGCATAGCCCTCTAGTCTTCTTTTGCAGACATTTGCTCTTTATTTAATTTGAGATTGATTGGTTGGTTGGTTGGTTTTTGGTTTTTTTTTTAATTTCTGAACCTGTTTGTTAGTAGGAGTAGAACTATTCAGTTACCTAGAGTGTTTTGGAAGATTGTGAATTGACTTTAGGTATTTTTTTTTCTACTGAAATTAAGGTGTTGCAAAGTAAGTTGGGACTTAATTTAACTGTTTTGGGGTTTTGGTTTTTTTGTTTGTTTGTTGTTTTTTTTTAATGTTGCACTATTTTGGGGAGCGTTTTGCTAAACATATTTAATGAAGCTGCAAATTTGCATGTATTTAATTTATTTTGTATTTTCCAAAGTTTTATATTTTCTTTCTTGACGTGCATGTGCACTGCCAGAAGAATGAACTGTGAACTTGCCATATGCAATCTTGAATAAAATCACTAATCCACAACTACTCTGTGCTATCTTACCAGCTGTTGGGAGCTGAAGTTTCTACTATGAACTAATAATCCTCTTGTTTTGGTTCTAAAACAGCTATTTTGGGAAAGATACCAAACTTATTTGCTGTCAAAAAGGTTTTGTGTCGTAGGAAAACTTTTTGTTCTGTCTTTTGAACTCAAGAGTTTGGTATGGAATTGTATTGTAGATGCAATATTAGCTTAAAAAAACCAAACAAAAAGGTGTGAATTCCTCAGAGCATCACCAGGGCGGTTCTGGAGGGCACTTCTGAGAGCTTTCTGCAGCTTGAGGGATAAGTTAACTTGGACATGTCTTAATGGTGCTAGTGCTGATCAGCCAGTCAGTCCCACTAGCTGAGAACAAATTAAGTTTCTCCGAGTTCACTTTTCCATCCAGGCTGCAGGAGGATTTCCTCCCAGCTGAAATGCCCAAAAGGAGGATGCCTTGGGCTACAGTTCTCCAAACATGTAGTAATTGGAAATCACGAATTCTCGGTTGAACATGCTCTGCTTCTGTATCTATTTTGATTTTTTTTTTTTAAGCCTATTTTAACGAGGCGACTTCAGTTTGTATTGTATTGTATGTGTTGTATATTCAACTTTTGTACCATTTTTAAAGGCTTTCACGTTTTATATCTGGAGAGGAAAACCACACATCTGCTCTGCAGAGATCCAGACCTGTCTCTTGCTGTTTCTGCCACCTGACCCTTCCTTTCTTTGCTCTTTTGAGTGTTGTGTTCTATTTATTCGAGGCTCGTTTTCAAGTCGTGGTTTGTACAGCGCAAAGGAAATTTCACGTCTAAGATGTCATGCATGGGACAAATTTGGGTGGAAATACGGATGGGAAACGTGTTTCAGATGGAACTAAAGTGCATATTGTTCTTTTTTGCTGGTAATTAAAAAGTATTTCTGGCTCACTCGAGCTTCTCTTAATGATATGTTCAAATATCTTGTGTTTGTCCTTTGAGTTCACGTTTCATCGACCTGTTTTCTGGAAAGCAAAGAAAGTTTTAAGCCTGGGAAGATCTTGGCTGATGCATTTTTAAGTTTTGTATTTAACAAGGGCGAGAGTTGGATTATCCTGAATATACCGAAAACTTGCAAATAAGTCACGAGATTTCTTACTAACGGAACCCTGAGTAATTTTTCAATTTCTTTTTGTAAAAAGCCTGATGGACTAAGGTGCACATTTGCCTGAAGTCTTTATAAATCAGAGAATCATGGAGTGGATTGGGTTGGAAGGGACCTTTAAGTCCATCCATGCCATGGGCAGGGACACTTTTCACTATCCAAGGTGGCTCCAACCTGGCCTTGACACTCTCAGGGATCCAGGGGCAGCCACAGCTTCTCTGCCCAACCTGTGCCAGGGCCTGCCCACCCTCCCAGCCAGCAATTCCTTCCCAATATCCCCCACCTAAACCTCCCCTGAGAGTTTTAATTCGAACATGCTTTCATTTGAAGCAAAGGGTGCTTTTAAACCAAACCGAAGGCCTCATCAGATTCCCGCCGCTGGAGGAGAAAAACCCCTCCAAGTCCCCCCTCAGAGGGAGGAATCGGGAAATAAACTGACAGCAGGATAATCTTAATCTCCCCCTTGCTTTGATTTTTTTGTTTGGTTTGGTTTGGTTTGGTTTTGTCTTCACTGTGCCTGGCAGCATCCGCTGTGCAGGAGGGACCCGCCCCGGCGGTTCCTCCCCGCCCTCACAGCCCTGCCCACGGACACCCCTTCCCTCCGTGGGAGAGACACGGGGGGCTGAGGCATTCTGTAGATTTATACCTGTCTAGTTTGTAAAGTTGTGTAACGTGTGCTGCAGATGTGTATTCTCTGGGCTCTGTGTATCTTTACAGTAGTGTTCAATTTAGGATTAAAAAAAAAAGAGACAAAAAAAAGGCCAAAAAAAAAAAAAATAAATTGTGGACACGTTTTGCTGGTAACAAGGGGAAATTTTTTTTTTGCCATTGCATCAAACGATGCTGAAATGTATTAAACTCTTGATAGCGAACCTGAACCCTTCCTTCCCCCATCCCGTGGAGATAAGTCTTTTATCTTCATCCCGAAGTTCTACCGGAGATGGATGGATACACTGGCAGACTGCATGAGATGTATCATTTGAAATCCGTTACAGTGGAAAATAAAACTGAGCTAAACTCTGCGGTGTGGGCCTTGTGTGACGTGGGACAGCCAGCCAGTGCCTGCTCTGGGTGACAGGGACAGCCCCCAGGGAATGGCTGGAGCTGTGCCAGGGCAGGCTCAGGGTGGATCTCAGGGAAAGGTTCTTCCCCCAGAGGGTGGTTGGCACTGAACAGGCTCCCCAGGGCAGTGGGCACAGCCCCAAGGCTGCCAGAGCTCCAGGAGGGTTTGGATGATCCTCTCAGGGCACAGGGTGGGATTGCTGGGGTGTCTGTGCAGGGTCAGGAGCTGGACTGGATGATCCTGATGGGTCCCTTCCAACTCAGAATATTCCATGATTCTGTGAGGTACTCATTCTATGGAATTGCTTTCCAGAGTGTGCTGGAGGCCATGTCCAAGGCCACACTCTGGATTTCAGCTTTCCTTCTAATTCATAGAATCCCAGACTGGTTTGGGTTGGAAGGGACACAAGGGACCTCCTAAAGCTCATTTTGTTCCAGCCCCTGCCATGGGCAGGGACACCTTCCACTAGCCCAGGTTGCTCCAAACCCCATCCAGCCTGGCCTGGGACACTTCCAGGGATGGGGCATTAATCAGAAGGTTTGGATGACTGGGAAACAAACACAGCATTTTTAATTATTTTTAAATAAATTATTGCATCTTCACTACCTCTCCATGTACATATTCCTTCTTGCTCCTCTTTTTTAGTAGCCTGGAGGATGACAGGGAGACTCTCCCACTTACCCTCTGCATGCATTTCCATTTTTATAGGAATATTACACTCACTTTATGTACAGTGTCGTGAAGTTCCTGCCTCCTTGCCACCTCCCTTAAGTCATACTCTGGAGCTTTATAAACAGGTTATTTCCAGTAATTATTACTCTGAGCATTTCTCAGATCATTACTTTTCTCCTCAGCCATGCAAATTCCACAGATTCTGTAGAAATGGGTTGCTCCCTCTTTTTGCTGATGAGTTTTGATTTCTAATGAGGATTACATGGGTTTTGCATCATGCCCAGCAGACTTAAAAATTAGCCCGGTAAAGTTTGGAATTGATCATTTCTAAATCAGAATAAACACGGGATTGTGCTGCTTTCAGTGTGTAAGAGGCGCTTCCTCACACTCTGGGAAGCTGCTGCCTGCAGGATGAGGATGGATCCATCTGGGAAGAAGAGGCTTTCCAGTGTAGATAGATGGTTTATATTAAGGAGAGCAGATGGGAAGCCCAAACATTCCCCAACAGTCCTGCAGAGAAAGGCAAACGCTGTTCGGTGCCAGAGCTCTTTCCCTGGGTTAAAACCCTTCTAGATCTCTCTGATAAACCTCGTGCCTGGAGGATGAACTCAATTACAGAGCAGACTGTTTGCAAGTCTATCCCTACAATTTCACTTTCGGAATGTGGGATCGCAGCAGTTAATTAACTCAATGAAAACATCACAAATTACTGTATCCATTTCCAAGATCCAGCTTACGCAACAGCCCAGCGAAAAACAAAGGAACGGGGTTTGCATCCCTAGGAAAACACCCGCTGCGAGCCTGTCACTGTCGATTTCAACACTCCTTAGCTCCGGCTGAAACACTTTAAACTCATCTTCGAGCGCAGATGAACCCAGTGGAGCCTATTTATCCTAAAATGAGGTCGGTCAGCAGTTTGGCCTTAATTCACCTGGCGGTCACACGAAATGAGCTCATCCTTGACACGCTCTGATGCCACGCTGGTGCCGGTCCCGGGGGAAGGCGGGGGGTGTCAGGGGAGGTGCCAGTGGGGCTCTCGGGGGGTGCTCGGGTAGGGAGGGGTCCCCTCCTCGGCCCTGCAGCCCCCCGGGCGGTCCCGCCCTGCCCGCAGGTGCCACGGCCCCGGGGGCGGGCGCGGGGAGCTCGGCCCCGGCCCCTCCTCCGGCATCGCCCGCACAGCCCCGTGTCCCGGCGCTCCAGTATCCCGGTATCCCGGTGTCCCAGAGTCCCGGAGCGGCCGCCGAGCCCGCCCCTGCACGGACGGTGAGTGCGGGGAAGGGGCCGGGAAGGGAGCGGGGCTGGGGCGGGCTCGGGGCTGCGGGTCCCGTCCTGCCGCCCCCGAGGGATGCTGAGCCGCGGCCCCACCACCCGCCGGGGCCGGCGAGCGGGAGGTGGCCCCGAAATCAGGGTGGCCCCGAAATCAGGGTGTCCCCAGCTCCGCGGGGAACGGGAAGTGACACCGAAATCAGGGTGGCCCCAGTCCCGGGAGTTTTGGGGAGAGGGAGGTGGCACCAAAGTCGGAGGGGGGGTCTCCAGCGCCGTGGGGAGCAGAAGCGACACTGAAGTCAGGGTGTCCCCAGTCCCAGGAGTTCTGGGGAATAGAAGGTGGGACTGAAATCAGGGTGTCCCCACTCCCGCTGTTTTTGGGGAGCGGGTGGTGGCACCTAAATCAGGGTGTCCCCAGCCCCGCTGGTTTTGGGGAGTGGACGGTGACACCTAAATCAGGGTGTCCCCAGCCCCGCTGGTTTTGGGGAGTGGACGGTGGCACTGAAGGGAGCGTGTCCCCAGCCCCGCTGGTTTTGGGGAGTGGACGGTGACACCTAAATCAGGGTGTCCCCAGCCCCGCTGGTTTTGGGGAGTGGACGGTGGCACTGAAGTGAGCGTGTCCCCAGCCCCGCTGGTTTGGGGAGTGGACGGTGGCACTGAAGGGAGCGTGTCCCCAGCCCCGCTGGTTTTGGGGAGTGGACGGTGGCACTGAAGGGAGCGTGTCCCCAGCCCCGCTGGTTTTGGGGAGTGGACGGTGGCACTGAAGGAGCGTGTCCCCAGCTCCGCGGGGAGCAGGAGGTGGCAGCAAAGTCAAGGTGTCCCCAGCCCTGCGGGGAGCAGAGGTGGCACCAAAATCAGGGTGTCCCCAGCAGCTGTGGTGCTGGTGGGAAGGAGCCAGACGGTGGGAAGGAACCAGGCTGTGGGAATTGCTGGGTGTGCAGCGTCAAGGGACCCAAATCATAGCCCGTGTTTTACGAGTCTGTTGTAAAAGTGCAGTTATTGCACATCCCCTGATGGTTATAGAGCTGTAAAACGTTCTGTGTGCCTCAGCCAGGGCAGCAAAGCCTGGGCTCTTGTAAAGTAGGTGCATTAGGCTTCACTGTAGGAAGTGAGAGAACACAATAAAAATGTACATAGGGAAGCAAATACCAGCAAAAAATACAAGCTGCCCACCATGAAGGCTGGAGAGGGACTGGGGACAAGGGATGGAGGGACAGGACACAGGGAATGGTTTCCCACTGCCAGAGGGCAGGGATAGATGGGAGATTGGGAAGGAATTCCTGGCTGGAAGGGTGGGGAGGCCCTGGCACAGGTTGGGCAGAGGAGCTGTGGCTGCCCCTGGATCCCTGGAAACGTTCAAGGCTTGGAGCACCCTGGGCTAGTGGAAGGTGCCCCTGCCCATGGCATGGGGGTGGAATGAGATGAGGTTTAAAGTTCCTTCCAACCCAAACCATTCTGAGATCCTATGAAAGGACATGAGCAGGTGCTGGGCTGACACTGGCAGGTTGTTGCTGCCTTTTGCATGGTGTTTCTCCTGAGAAGGGACCCTGGCTCCTTGTATACCTATTCCCTACATCCAAATGCATATCCCTGCCCTGAATCAGGCTGTAAATCCCTCGGAACAACCAGCAGCAGTGCTGTGTGGTATCACAGGTGCTGTGCGAGGCCCGTGGGTGCTCTGCTAATGCAGGGAAGGAAAACAATCCCAGCGCGGAGGAGCGTCCGTGGTTCGCCCAGAGAGAACTGGCTTGCAAGACCCAGCTGGTTGATTCCTAAGGGCAATCTCAGGAAAATGGGTTTGTGTGATTTCCCGCCTGTCAGAGGGTAAATGCAGGGAGAGCCTGGAACCGCAGATGGAGAGATCAGAGCGCTCGCAGAGCCGTGTGCTGCAGCCTCTTTCATAAGTACAGGGCTGGTAATCCCAGATGCTCAGATAATGACTCAAGTTTCTCTCCCTCCATAAACATGTTTTCGTTTAAAATTATAAAATCCCGAGCGCCGGGATCTCTCTCTCTCGGGTCGGTTTGGAACCTCTAAGTTTGAAGTTTTAGAGCTTTTTCCGTGACTGTGAACCTCCCCATTGCCACCCCCCATCCTGCCTCTGCTCCGAGGAGTTTGGAGGAAAAGGACAATGACGATTGAAAGGTTTGTGGTGACAAGGGATTGTGTTTTGAGGACACAGGGACCAGCTTGGAGGAGGAGAACTCAGAGCTGAAGGTCTCTGCCCTCGCTGTGGTGTTTGTCTCCCATCGGTCCCTGGCCAGGCCGTGTACCTGCAGTGCAGGTGAATTCCAGAGGTAATTGCAGATGGATGTTTTATAGCATGGAGGAAGGGAGTTGTCCTGGTTGTTACACAGCTTGGTGATTCATCAGTCTTCGCAGGGTGATAGTTTTGCTCTTCTGGTCAGCCCACAATTAACTCAGTTCCCAGTGTTTTCCCTCTCCCCTCCATGCCTTGCTTTAAGTCAATTAACATTTCCCAGCGTGGTAATTGCGGCGCCAGCTCCCAGCCAGTCCCATCCTCTCAGTGCCATCCCTTCCAGAGCGGATAATCTGCCTCATCCCAAGTTTGCCAGAGCTGCATCTCCGAGCTTTGACATCTGGCTGTGTGATGTTTGCTGTCAGGGGCCCGGGAAATCCTGCAATCAGCTTGTGCAGGATGGATCCCACACTTGGGAGGAATTCCATCCTCTGGCTGGCTCTGGGGGCTTTATCTGACAGGAAGAAGAGGGAGAGCGCAGCCAAGGTGGGGAATGTGTGATTTTGGCAAGCCCGAGGTGCTGCAGGGAAGGAACCAGTGCTACAGGAGCAGGCACCTCTTCCTGCACCCCTGGGAGCTCTGGAGAAGGGACACCTGTGCCTTGGTAACTCCTGAGTAGATTCCTGCCGTGCAGACAGGTTATCCCCATCTCTTCCTGCTTGGTTTTCTGTTTGCCCAAGCTTCAGTTGTGGGAGAAGACAGAGGGAATGTTTCCTTTTCTGCTCTTTATACAAATCATGTAGGAGAGCCCTGTCTGAAAT